AGATTATTCAGTTTGCAGAGGTGATAATTTTAAAGGTACAACTCCATTCAGATAAGCAAGAAGGTTACAAAAATTTAGAAAGAGTGAAAGAGCACTAGCACGTATATACTGCTTCATAGTGCAGCCCTCTCTAAGCTGTATATAGAGTCAGCATATTGCCCCCAACAATCTGGGTCCTCATTTTACCAATCTCAGAAGGATAGAAGTCCGAGTCAACCTTGAGCTGGTGAGAATCAAACTGCTGGCAGTGGGTAGAGTTAGCCTGCAATACTGCATTCTAACCACTGCGTCACTATGGCTCCCTAATAAGCTCTGACCCATTGTACCCCCTCCTATGAAGAGTTATCATAGGATGTAGTTTTGCTCCCTTTATTATAAAATCATGAATTGCTTTCCAGTATAGTTTCCACACTTGTCAATCAACCAATCCTACCTTTAGTGTGATTCTCTGCCTGATTTAAAGCTAACTGTGAGTTGGCTAAAGTAATTTGTGGAAAGCAAATATGTACAGGAAATAGTCAGAGTTTAGTTTCTGAATTTTTTTAATTTTTTAAAAAATTTTCTTCTATGGATATTTTTCTTTTTTAGAATAAAACCCCACTTATTGGAAATATCTACATTTCTGCAGAATAAAATTGCATATTTTTTTTTCAATCTAGCTAAACACTTAGAGAAGAAGCTACAAGTTACAAGAAGCTACAAGTGGCTTCAGTTATAAAACATTCCAAGCCTGAATATGGTTTAGTTGTTTTGGTGAAGCATGTATATTATTGAAATGTGAATTATAAAGAAGTAAAGTGTGCTAACACAAATATGGTTCATTTGTTTGATTGGTTTGACTTGCTGTGTTGCATGAATCCAACTATTACAAGTTGTAACCCATGTGGTTAACTTTAACACATTGTATATACTCTACTCAGCAAATTGTGGCTTATTCAACAAATCGTCGCTTAACAAACCAAGTCTAAGCAAGATAAGCGAATCTAATTGTTAAAACTTCCTTTTGAACAAATCTGTTTATGATTGCATGGTTATTGATGCACACTTTGTAGTAAAAGCACAAAAAAACACTCTCTGGCTTTTCAAGCATATTTCACATTAATACAAGTATCCTAAGAACATTTCATATGTTTTAAGGTCCACAGACATTGCAGATAGTCCATGCTTTACCAATCATAATTTCAGTGACCATTTGAAATTATAACGGTTCTTAAAAGAAGATCTTGTGGCTTTTACAGTGATCATGATTTAGATCAGGGCTGTCAAACTTGTGACGACACGTCATCACGTGACGTATCACAACTTTCCCCCCTTGTTAAACTGGGGGTGGGCATGGCCAGTGTCGGATGCATCCAGCCCACAGGCCGTGAGTTTGACACCCCTGATATAGATGCTTGTCAACAATATGCATGTAGAATCTTGTGGTCATGTGATCGCCATTTGCAATGTTCACAGCAGTGGTGGGATGTAACTGGTTTAACAACTGGTTCAGTGAGCGTGCCTAACGCACTTGCGCGCAGCGTTCAAAATACAGCAATTTGAAGCTCAGCTGCTTATATTCTAAGGCAGCCCTGGTAAGTAGAACAGCGGAGGCACGGAAATCAGCTGTGCCGCACGAATCAGCTGAGCCAGAAAGAAGGAAATAAAGGACAGGATAGGGCAATTGGGCGGAGCCAGCTGATCGGCGCTACTGGTTTGCCCGAACCGGTCCAAACTGGCTGAATACAACCTCTGGTTCACAGCCACTTTGCAACAAGCAAATTTGATGGGGGAGCTAGTAGAAAGTTGCAAGTCACGGTCACGTGATATCACACTTGATGACTATGCTACTTAATAATAGAGTTGCCGGCCTCTCATGTGGATGGTAAGCGAAGACTACCTGCGATCAGATTTAAAGACTTCGTTGCCAGCCCAGAAATTTAAGGCAATATATAGCAGGACTACAGTAGTTTGCCACAGTCAGAAAGCTGCTTTCAGCTTCAAAGAATGCTCATTTTCCACTTCTGTTCCTAAAATTACTTCCTAAGCCAACATTATGAAAACCCCTTTGATCATGAAAATGCTTCCAAAACACTGACTTTGCTTAACTACTTCACTAAAACGCAGACAAACTTTATAGGGAGCTTCATCAAAAAGAGCCCAGGAAACATTACAACTTAACCCTTTGCATGCTTCTGCCCTTTCGCTGCAGCTGCAGAAAAAAAAACAATGCTTGAGAAAATACTGTTTCTTTTTTATGCTTTGGGGCTAAAACTACTTGCTAAATTCTGCCCTTTCGAAATATTAATGTTCCTTTTAATGCATGTTTATTATTAACTGTGGAATTTGTTTTTGAGTGTTGCCAAAAGATATCACGGAAGGGGAAAACATTATTTTGGTGGGGAGAAGAATTGTTATGCTTTTTAATGCAATTCTGTATATTAATTTAAGGTAGCTTATTCTGAGAATCAGGTTTTTTGGCTCTGTTCATGGTCTGTTCCAGAGTATAAAACTTTTCCATTTCAAAAAAAAAAAGTACAATATGTGGTGGTTATTTTCACTCTTTAAGTTTTAGTTCATGAATCTGAATCTGAACAAATCTGTTTATGAATCTGAATCTGAAATATTATATGCTGAACTAATACAGAACTGCATTATTTTGTTTGCACAGAAAAGAATGAGATTCTGTTAATTCTCTTTTCCTCCTCTGTAATGATATTTTGAAAAAGTCTGATGTACTTTGGAAAAATTTCAAAGGGAATATGCATTGCATTTTTAAGGAAACAGTATCCATTGTGACAAGATTTGTTCTCGTTAGGAATTTTGCTTTTCTGTTTTACTTTCATGATGCACAAGTAAACAAAAAGAGCAAGCAAACTCTCTTCATACATGAGAGGGAGAAAGAACAGGCAACTGCCTTTTCTTCATTGCTGGTTCACATAACATTGGACCATGGTTTGCTATTCTGCCTAAACAAGATCTAGGTCAGAACTTACTCTTTTTTCCCTAGATCTTGAATTACATTATTTTTAATAACTGAAATTGAAATTAAACTGAAATGCTACAGAGCTGTGGTGGTGCAGTGGTTAGAATGCAATATTGCATTCTGCCGACTGCCATCAGTTTGATTGTCACAGCTCAAGGTTGACTCGGCCTTCCATCCTTCTGAGGTGGGTAAAATGAGGACCCAGATTGTTGGGGGCAATATGTTGATTCTGTAACCGCTTAGAGGGGACTGTAAAGCATTATGGAGTGGTATATAAGTGCTGTTGCTATTGTGTTTCTTCTCTAGCATTTCAGTTTAATTTCAATTTTGGGACATCATAGCTTGAAAGGCTAAAATCACGCAATGCTACAACTGCAGCAAATTAGTTATTGCAGCCTTTTAAACTACTTTGGGTTGCATACCCCCTTGACCTTGGAGTGCCCTATTATCATTACTGCTAACATTTTTTTTTATTTTTATCCCACTTTATCTCTAGGAGCTAAAGGTGAATTTTCATGGGCATCTTAGCATCAATTGATACTGGATCTTCCCAATTCTAGACAAACATCTTAACTCTTTTTTTTTTAAATTTGATTTATATGCCGCCCTTCTCCGGAGACTCAGGGCGGCTTACAACGCGTTAAGCAATAGCCTTCATACTTTTGTATATTTTTACAAAGTCAGCTTATTGCCCCCACAAACTGGGTCCTCAATTTACCTACCTTAGGAAGGATGGAAGGCTAAGTCAACCTTGAGCCTGGCAAGATTCGAACTTACTAATTGCAGACAGCTGGAGTTAAATTACAATGCATTAGTCTGCTGAGCTATCCAGGCTCCTGGCTTTTTAACTCTTGGCTTTTTAATTATGACAAAGTTATGAATTGTTGAATAAGCCATAATAGCCTAGTTCAGAAAAAAATACTAAAGCATAAATCATAGTTTACAAACAACAGTGGTTAAGTTCACATATCACACAAGCCAACACCAAACAAACAAACAAAAAACCAATCCATAAACTGCTGTAATCCAAAGTATTAAAAATGCAACGAGTTTAATTATCAATTGCCTCACAATTGATAAACTATTCTACCAAAATTCCTAAATGAATGGCTGTGTTAATCTTCTACAGCAGAAACTGTCAAGGGGTTTATGGCATCTTAGTAGTAACTAAGTTTGTTGTCTTGAGCTTTTGTGCACTTGTAGTCTCTAAGATGCCCAAAGATTCTAAATTTTTTTTTTGTTAAATTTGTAAGTGATGTCAATTGGGCCAAAAATTGATGCTATAGTTGGATAGAAAAGGATACTGTTTCTTTAAAAGAAAAATTATTCTGAACATTTCAATTGCATTTGAACTGGGATTTTGGAATAGACTGTTTTACCACAGTGTATTGTGTGGTGAGGTTAGGAAGTCTATTTCACTACCTTTGGAGTTTATTACCCTGTTTCCCCTGAAATAAGACATCCCCTGATAATAAGCCCAATCGGGCTTTTGAGCACATGCGCTAAAAGTAAGCCCCTCCACTGAAAATAAGCCCTCACTGAAAATATTTAAACATGTGCAGCTGGTCCCCGCCATTTCCTCTGGTTAGGGTTAGGGAGACAGACCTGGAAATCAGATAAGACGGCAAGAGGAGCCCAATCTTGCTCCACGTGCCCCAAAGTAATAAGACATCCCCGAAAATAAGGCCAAGCAATTATTTCGGGGTTCAAAAAAATATAAGACAAGGTCTTATTTTCGGGGAAACATGGTAGGTCAAAAAGGAACCACATGACAATTTATTTTTGTTAATTTTTATACAAAATGTATCTCATTGCAAACCCTCATAGCAAGTTAATGACATATAAGGTATTCTCTTTTTACATGTGTCCCAGTTTGTTTATTTTTTTTGTTTCAGAAAAAAAAAAGAATGTTCAGTGTGTGTGTAAGTCTGTAGGAATGTAGCAAGTTGATAAAATCCCATCCAAGTTCACCCTCCTTTCAGGAATAATTTTTAAAAACAGCTTGAATTGCTTTTTATGGAAATTTGTTTTGCAGCTTTCTACATCTTAAGGCAGAGAATAGCCAGGATAAGGTGCCAACCCAAAGGTTAGCGGAACATATTTCTTAAAATAATTTTGGCACAACAGTGTTTTGAAGCTGTAACTAATAATTTGGGGAAATAACGTTTTATGTAAACTCAGGAGAAATATGTATTTATTTTGTTTATTATTTTAAGACAATGAAACACTTTTTTTTGAAGCATTCCCATACAGTGGAGGATTTCCTAACTAATATGAATCAATTGTGGCATCATTTTCAGTTTTATAGATAAGATATCGGGAAAATCTGTTTTACATTGTTTATCAATTTATAATTTTAAACAATGCTATACTGCAATATGGTTGTTTTATTTCAGTGTTATTGTATGTAGATATCTATATAAATCACTGCCAGAAATAATGACCAAGCTAGCAATGTTGTATATCAGGGGTGTCAAACTTCATTTCATTGAGGGCCACATCAAGGTTGTTTTTGACTTCAGGAGGCCAGGGTAGGCATCCCCAGCTTGACGTCACTCATGTCGGGGGTACAGGTGCTGGCCTGAGTGCTCTGCCAGCGAAAACAGGCCGCCGAGGTCCATTTTCAGCTGCAACGGCCTCCTACAACCTTCTGCCAGTGAAAACGGAGCTCAGGAGGGCCCTCCCAAATTCCGTTTTCACTGGCAGAGGGCCTGTGGGTGAGTCCTTCGCTGTTTCCAGGGTGGTCCTGCAGGCCAGATCTAAGCACCCCGCGGGCCAAATCTGGACCCCAGACCTTGCGTTTGACACCCCTGTTGTATATGCTTACCTGGGAATACTGTGAGACTTCTTTATGAGCAAATCTTGTTACGATTGCACTGCACCTCTATGTATGTTTCCTTATAAATATTTTTTATTGTATCTGGCTAGGTCCAAAATCCAGAGGAGAACATAGCATATGTGGTGTCCTGCTGGATTGTACCGTTGGCCCATCTAGTACAGCAGACTCTTCTCACACTTGCCAACCAACTACATGGGAAAGCCCACTATCTGCCCGCAGTTGGCCTTCAGTGGCAGTCACACTGCCATCAAACTAATAGCTCTTGATTCCCATGACATCTGCAACTGCCCAATAACACACAATAGCTATGCTCAACCAGTGGCTTTCCAGATCTGTTAGGATTGAATTTCTAGCAGTTGCAGTCCCAACACACCTAGAAAGAACCACAGTGAGAAAACCCAGTGCGCATAAAATTAATCTAGCTGCACTGTGCCTTGATTTATGTAATACAGGTATATAACTCAAGACAAGACCCTCTGCTGTAGAATCTGAAATACATTTACTAATTCAATTAGAACTAATTGACAATGGTTAAGAATATTTGTAATTACAATAGCACTTTAAGAGTTCCTGAGCAAATACCTATCTAGGCATTTACCTCACTAAAGAATTACTTCTCAATACGTTTCCTTCAGATTAAGGTATCCAACAGATTTGATATCTGGGTTATATTCCTGTGAAAGATTCTTTATACTATTCTTTTGATACATCCAAGTGAATATTGGAATTTGGCTTACAAGCATACAATTATGTATAGAATAGGGTTGCTACCTCAAGGGCGCCATTTGGACTGAATGTAAAATACCCAGTATTTTCTGGGGCAGGAGACTGCCTATGAGTGGAATGCCAGTCCCTATACTTCCACCTATATAGGATGTTACTATAATAATCATTCTTTAAAAAATTACATTGATATTTACCGTAATAAAGAAGTTTAAATGAGGATTTTCTACAGGAATAATGTTGTTCCTTTATGGGCTATGTTGATAATTTTGAGATTTCTCCCAAGCTTCTAGTTGTTGCAGAAAATAGAGCAAGGAATTCTAGAATGAACTTCAGCCCAGGGCTTATCTGGGCTGAAGTCCATGCCCAGATATTTCAAGAGAAAATTAGATTTTAAGTTATCTGGATATTTCCAATTCTCAGGCCAAAATTATGGGTGGCTTTATTTCCAAATCAGTGTCAACCTCCCTTGTGGCAACTTGTTTGCTTGCCATAGTATTTGAGAATCTGCTTCAGACATTACTGTCTGAATAATTCCACTGAACTTTCTGGAGGCATTCCAATATTATGTACTACACTAAGGAATGTTCATCATATATTATCTTGATTTACAGCATAATGTACTATTACATGAAAAATCCAAGTAGCTTAACTTCTGGGCATTGGAGGTATTTTTGTCCATGAAAATAACACTTTCAAAATGTAAAGCAGTGCATTATTTGCAGTGACTGGTTCATACACAATTCTAATCTAAAGTGGCAGTGATTTAACCAGTTGAAAATCTCTCTGGAATTCTAATGTCTGCTATATTTAAAATAGGCAGAATATTATTTTCCCTGCATTTGGCACTGTCATTCCAAGATGATAGAAGAAAAGATTGCATATTGAACTGCTCAAAGATTAAAAACCACCTGCCTACAGTAAAGATTTCTGAAAGCATGTTAACAAACTGTAAATGTGCACTTCCAGCCATTGTAATTTTGGGATAATAAACTTATCTGGAATAAAGAATACCCTTGATAAGGTCATACATTCCATTTAAAATGTAATCAGTAAAACAAATTATTATTAGTTATATTAGTATTTCTTGTCAGCAAGCAAAGATTATCAGGTAGCTCCATAATTAGAAAGAACATTTAGTTTTCAGAGGTCAGTCCTTGCTTTAAGTTGCTCCCACACTACAGTAATCCTTTAATCTGGAGGTATGATTCTTCATACAGTCATATTTACACAGCATTCTATTTTTTTCTGTTATTCGTATCATATATATTGGGATGTTTTTGACAGAACTTGCCACCTTGTAAAATGCGAGCCTAACAAAGTGGCGTTGAAGGATAAGCTTACTTTGCATTTAATTAAAAGCAGTCTCCTTGCAGTTTCTGTTTATTCACCATGGCAGAAGGATTAGTTATGCACTAAAGGCTGCAACCTTATAGTAATTTTCTTGGGAGCAGCCCCTGCCCCTCCCCCCCCACCCAACTCAAAGAGTCTTAATTCTGACACTCTTGATTATCAACTTGCATTGGTTACAATTTTTTTATTTCTTTACATGGCAAAATATAGCTAAGATTTCATATTTAAATACATATACCACAAAAAGATGCTTCCTTTTTGTGGCAAAAAGATAACATTTTTTAGCAAGAAACCAGTTTTGTTTATGATTTTTTGTTATATAAATAACTCAGCTTTATTTTTTTTTTTCTTTGGGAAAATGTGTCTAGTGGTGGAGTTTTGTAGTAGAAACATACAGTACTGGAAGGCTGTACTACTTCACTGCTCTAACTCTAATAAAGGCTACTATTGAATATATTTTTATAACAATTAGTGAAGACTTGCTGTTCTATTTTTTAACTTCTCAAAATAATACAAAGTTAAAACAACAAGAACAATAAAAGCAGGTAACAAAATACAACAGCTACAAAGACCAGTGAAAATTTATTTAATATTTTTAATTTTGTGTGTATTTTGATTTGAAAGAAAAATAATAGCCTTCTTTTTGGGTATTCACAGCTGTTTGTCAACCTGGATGTAAGCATGGAGAATGTATTGGTCCAAACAAATGCAAATGTCATCCAGGATACACTGGGAAAATATGCAACCAAGGTAAGGAAACAAAAAGACGGAAAGAAAAACAAATAAAACTCAAACTTCTTTATAAAAGTTCAGTTAATTGCTTTGTTTTCATTGTAGCTAATAGCTGTTGTCTGGTCCTTATCAGAATTATAAAGGAAAAGTATACTGCAAAGGTACAGCTTCATTCATTCTCTGGGACTAAGATATTAGCCACTTGATTTAATGATAGTCAAGATCAATAGTATTTTTTATCAAATGAAAGTGAACAATTATGGAATCTTTGATATCTTTTCCTTATTTCCATTGGTTTAAGGACACATTAAAATCTTCACTCCCAAAGTAAGCTTGAGGATAGAAAATTTTTATTTTTCCCACTTAAAATATCCTGATTACCCCAAATAGAAAAAGGGAGTATTTTTTTAAAGGGTAATCTACCCACTTTTTGGTAATCTTAGGACAGAAAAGGGGGGATTTTGGCAGGATATATGTGGTTTATAGGCCACACTATTTTCCCCCTTAGTCAATTTGAACTGAGTGAGAAATTGTATTATCTCTTAGAAAAAAATTGTTCAAATTTTTGTTGCTGAGCTCAGCCAAACACAACCCTTCATAAATATTTAGAGTTTAAGCAAGCTGTGGGAACTTAACACAAATTGCTATTATCAGGACTCCTTTCTCAAAAAATAAGGAAAGAAATCCATATGCTAAAATAATTTAAATAGAAATAAAATTCATTCCATCAAATGAAGAAAAGTCCAACCAAGTGACACGTATGCCTGTTTATTCTCTGTTTTCAAGTGCTTAAAGGTGTAGTTACACTCATGAATTCTAATAAAGCTTTCTGAAGCTTCTGATGGAAAATCAAATTAACATTTTAGAATATCTGACAACTTGAGAAAGTTGGTGAAACAGGAAATGTGTTTCCTGGGAATTGTTTCCCACTTTCCATAGCTTAGTGAATTCTAAATGTTTTTAAAAACTTACTTGTTCAGATATATTAAACTTTGCCTGAAAGATTCTTGTGAGATCTCACATTTTGTCCTAGCCCAGTGATGGCTAACTTTTTCTGGACCGAGTGCCGAAAGTGCGCGTGTACGCATGTCCAAACCCCCAAAATGCAATGTGTGCATGGCCCCCTACAAACTCCCTGCTCTCCCTGCATGCATGTGTGGCCCCCCAACCCGCCCCCCCACATGCACGCGCAACTCCCGCATGCACCCCAGCCCCCCTTGCATGCACGTGCGGCCTCTCTGCACACGCCCTGCCCCCTGTGCATGCACGGCAGAGTCCCGAAGACCAGCTGACCAACTGAACTGGGGCAACAGCTCATGTACCATCAGAGAGGGCGCTTCGTGCCACCTCTGGCGTGCCATAGGTTCACCATCCCGGTCCTAGCCTCTTCCCTGCCCTATCCCCTCCCTCTCCCCTTCCCATAATACATCATATTGTTATATTTCCTTCTACTTTTGGTAGTATGACTAATGTTATACTGTAGCCTTCTTTCTAATCTGAGTAAGAATTGCCAAAAGTTTGGGGCTAAAGGAATTCCCAGAACTTTGGAAATTCTGAGTGCATGCAATGGGGCCTATCACAAAACTGTTTCTGTAGCAGGTACTCTCTACCACTTCAGCTTGTGTTTCTCTCTAAATTTAAGCTTTCAATTCATTTAAATCTGAACTGTTGCACTGTGTATCATTGGTGGGTGCTCCAGTAGTAGATGTGCTCATCTGTTCAAATAATTTCTGACTTTGGATTTACAAGAAGATTCACCTTCTCAAGGTTTGTATAGCAGCGACTTCTCTATACCTCAGTTGAACGTTCAGCTTTTTCAGGCAAATGCTGCAAATTCAGCTAGATTATCTCTTCCCCTGAATCTAAACTGCTGCTGCTCCTCTTTTAAAGAGAACCGAGATAGTTGAATGTAACATGCAAAAATGGTATTTCATCTAATAAAGTGCCATGTCATTTGACTTCTATTATGCCTTCTCCTCCATTGTGAAGCTGCACACCTGTTTGCAACCTCTGCACACTGGTCCAGTGAATCACCTTTTTTCACCACTGCGGAAGATCATGCCACATATTTGCCTTGGAGGGGTGAGGACAATCCTTTTATTTCAGGTGGTCCACCTGCACGGCTTCAATACCAATGGAAACCTCTTTTGCAAACAGGCTGAAAGGATAACAAACTCCTGGCTGCCACAAGGAAGCCTGCAATATAGGCAGCATGCAATTAGACTGACCATTGACACTTCCTTAAGACGGTTACCCTACCTTCCAAACAATTCTCTTCCGCAACTTTCTTCCTGTGGTAGTTCTCCTGCTCAGAGCTTTTGAGATGTATGCTACTTTTTCTACACTCTTTTTTAATTGATAAAATGCTGCTTGCTTATATAAGATTAAGTAAACATAATTGTAATAATTGTTAATGTCTCTGGCAGCCTCTCTTCCAGGAACAGTAGTGCTAGTATTAGCATGTAAAATGCATGCACAATATAGTATGAGCAATGGCAATAATAATATAATTTACAGGCAATCCTGAAGCTTTAAAGATTTACTGTAAACATCTCTTGACAATTTAAGAAAAAGGCTTATGATTGGCAGAAAATCGAGGATTTGATGCTCCATCTAGAGATTGAGAAGAACATAAGTAGAAAGTGCTACACCTGGATAATGTCAGACCTAGCAAATATCAAAAGATAAGAAAGACAACTATTGTATCCCTAAGATGCCGCAGAATAGGAAAACTTGAGCTGGAAGAATGGATAGATCTAATCTTTGATATATTTGATTAAGAGGTACAGCAGACTTCTTAGCGCTTTGCAATATATTATTCAAGAAGATAATTAGATTATTCCCAGAAGTCTGCTAGCTGTGACAATTGAGCAGGTCCTTGGTGCATTTTTTTTCAGATAGCACAATGTACATGGGACAATAGTAATCAGAGGCTGAATGCTTATAGGCCTGAAGTTCTATAGATGTTAGGGACGCGGAGGTTCAGTGGCTAAGATGCTGATCTTGTTGATCGAAAGGTCGGCAGTTCAGCGGTTCAAATCCCTAGTGCCGCATAACGGGGTGAGGTTCCGTTACTTGTCCCAGCTTCTGCCAACCTAGCAGTTCGAAAGCATGTAAAAAATGCAAGTAGAAAAATAGGGACCACCTTTGGTGGGAAGGTAACAGCATTCCGTGCACCTCTGGCGTTGAGTCATGCCAGCCACATGACCACAGAGACGTCTTTGGACAGCACTGGCTCTTCGGCTTTGAAACTGAGATGAGCACCGCCCCCTAGAGTCGGGAACAACTAGGACATATGCGCGAGGGGAACCTTTACCTTTATCTTACTATAGATGTTAGGATTATACTTCTAGAAATCCCATCCAGTAGGGCTTTCTGGAGTCCCATCATATCTTGAGAATAGCAAGTTCATTTAGAATAATGCTGCATGTTTGATAGAGTTTATTCAGAACATATGACTTTTGCAACAGGAAAACTATCAGACAGTGTGACTTGTTAAGGGTTATTATATTGACTGGAACTATCACTCTCACAAGATTCAGGTTATAACCCATGTAAGTTATTAATTATAAATAATTAACCCGGGATCAATATTTTACCACATCTTCCGGTGTGGAAATTGTCCTTAAGGTTCTTTAAACATTTTTATTGTTACCTGCTGAACTGAGGGTAATAGCTCCTTTGTTTTCCGCTGGTGCACTTGCAGTCTGTAATTATCAGTGGGAGAATGGTCCCTACAGTTAGATCCCTTTGATGGTTGGGAAGATGGCTGTCTTGTCCCTAGCTGAACTTTTGTTTGGAGCATGTGCAGAAATATTGGCAGGCAAGAACAAAGAGATGTTGAAAAGAATTTAAATATTGCAGAGTTGCCATGTCCTTCCACACCTCTGTGGGTGGATCTCAGCACTTATGATGCCTCCAAGCCTCATCCTGGAAGCACAGTTTCACTTCATCTAGCTGAAAGTGATTAAAAGTTTTGATTTTATGAAATCTGAAAAGCAGATTTATATTTCATTGTTAGAGGCAACTGTTATATCTCATTGTTAGGTGTAACTGTTAAGTCTTCATTGTATGTTTTAGCTAGGAACTGCTCTGCAATGATAGCACACGTAAGCCCTTTGCTTTGTAAGAAAAGCATTAACCATTTCCTTTTCCTATAATGCAGTAGCTAAGCTTGGCAGCCTGCGCTTTTGAGACTGGCTTTTTTAAAGGGCTGCTTCAACCTCTAGCTTTCTCTATATATAGTTGTAATGATGACAATATTCCTATGTTATTATTTTAGTGGTACCCTTTTTGTGTGTATCTGTAGCCTCTGGTTATGAAGAAAATCTCAGCGACCAACAAAAACAAAGCTTGCTAAAGCACTTCTCATTAAATTGTTTCAAAGTGCAAAGAAATATGGAAGACTGAAGTGGATTATTTTTAAAAAAGGTTTTGATAATTAATGTTTTTGTAACTTTTTGTTACATTCAATCCAACTTGCTAGATTTACCCTTTTTAGTTCATAGAGTGTTCTAAGCAATATGTTTATGGAAAACATTTTCTGATCATTTTGAAAAATGCAACATGTATGCCAGTTTATTAAAATACTAACACTTTTTTGGCTAAACTAATTACTGACGTGTTTAGCTCTAACTAGTCCTTCCCTTTATATAATTTCCACTCTACTGGTATAACATCACTGGCTAAAACAGTGAGCTAAAATTGGAAACTTTGGGGACAAGAAAATGAAACTGTATCATAAAAATGTTTAATCTTGCCCTAATCATTCTTATTTCAATCTTAGGCAAACCTTGGAATTGAAGAAGAATGTGATATATCTTACAGTTTTGTGCGTGAATAGAGTTTAAAAACAAAACAAAACAGGATTATATGGTGTAGATAACAACTACAACTAGTGTGGGCTTCAAAATTAGTTCTGAGAGTGGCTGGCTTGTAACCGGAACGCTGCACAGGATTGTGTGTTTCTAAAATGTGTATTCAGTGTATTTGTAAGGCAGGTGAAGATGTGTGCATTCCTGTTGCTTTGTCTGCATGGTTCACATAAATCAAGGGTCCCCAAACTTGGCAGCTTGAAGACTTGTGGACATCAACTCCCAGAATTCTCCAGCCAGCAGCTGGCTGGCTGGAGAATTCTGGGAGTTGATGTCCACAAGTCTTCAAGCTGCCAAGTTTGAAGATCTCTGACGTAAATGATCAAAGGTACTGAGGTCACTGAAAAAAACACAACTCAGAGCAAAGGTTGCCCTCTGGTTATTGTATAAAACCCTTTGCGACCTTACGCCTGCCTTAATGGCCTTAAATTATATTCCAAATGCTCAAAATAAGTCTATGGCCCATTTATAGACAATTGTTTCTACTTGAGAAATCCCTTGCAGTGGAGCATTTGATATTCATATTATTATCATACCATATTGCGGATAAAAATATTGTTGTATATATCCAATCTAAGAAAGCTGTTACAGAATGTAAACAGAAAGGCAGTTTATTAGAGATGTTGTTACAGTAAAACAGTTGGTTTTTTTTAAAAAAGGATTTTTTTTTCTTTAATGAAATTATATTCTTTTAACAACCTCATAATCCCTTGCCTCTACCAGGATTGAACCCACAGCCTCTGTGATTGATTTTTTCTTTTAATGACCCTTTAATCTCTTGCATCGGGTGGAGTAGGGACGACTAAACACAGCTTGAGCATTTACTGACCAGATGCCTTTCCTGATGCCTACATGGAGTTCATAGCAGACAATTACTCATTGCGCCCAGAGAGAGAAATATCTGCCGCTACCTAAGATCGAACTCACAGCCTTCTGATTGTGAGGCAAGAGCTCCACCTTTAGGCCACCACACCACTCCCTTTAATGAAGTTATATTGAGAACCCTAATTCATTGCTTCTAGCTTGAATGGAATACCAGTACAGAAACAATGAAGCTGATGTGGAATGTCTTATTTCCAGTGCAGTCTGCAAGATTTGAACCTTAAAACAATAAAATCCAACTCTTCTCAAAGTTACTGAACAAAGTCAGCAAAAATATACAATTAATGTTTAATTAAAATTAAGCAAGCAGTAAAAAGCTTAATGAAATAGTGTTAATATATTTCCCCTATTAAGATTTATTTTAACATTGTGCCCTAAAACTGTCAAAATCATTACATTCGTGTACCAAACCATGTGTAGCAAACTGTGTCATAATCTACACTTTCTGAATCTGAAAAGTGTAAAAGTTTCAATAAACTATTGCATTTTTCCTACAATATATTGTATATATTCATATCTATTTACTAAATTTGGGTTATGTTGTCCAGTAATGATTAAATTCCTCATGACAACCACTTAACCAAAGTGAAGTTTTTTTCTAAAAAGAACATACTACATCAGTTTAACTAGACATAGTCATGGAAATCAAAATGTATGCTTGGTTCTAACAATAAATAACAGAACTTCCATAAAAGACATTTTATTAGCATTTGTTATTGGGAATATTAGACAAAGGTAGCAAGCTTAAAACTATTCACTGCCTTAGCTCAGATGATGTCATTCTAAGATACTATGTGGCTTGCTTGGTTTATGTATGTATCTATGTATCTATGTATGTATTTTTCACATTTTTGACCTGTCCATTTCCTTCAAGGAGGGACTCTGGGCGGTGTACAATAAAACTTCAAAATATGAAAACAATATATAAAAAATAAAATTAAACAAGCCAACATTTACTGTATTAAACAAGCCAACATTTACTGCTTAAGATCCTGTACAAGCTAGCCCACTCTGGTCCATTCAACAAACTATAAATACATAAAAAAACAAACAAACCTCAGCTACTATGTAATGCAGGCTTGTTTTTCTAAAAGAACTGACTTTGAAACTCCTGAAACTTCAAAATGCTCACATTTAATGTTTTCTTTGTTTTTATTTCTTCCTCCTCACCCTCCCTATATCCTATTTAGATCTCAATGAATGTGGATTGAAACCAAGGCCTTGCAAACATCGATGTATGAATACCTATGGAAGCTACAAATGTTATTGTCTGAATGGGTACATGCTTATGCCTGATGGATCCTGTTCTAGTAGGTTAACTTCTTATAGTTTCAATTTTTTTTACAGTGGAATTCCTTGGAAGCAGGAGTTAATTTGCCTTAAGCAAAGGATCTAGTAATGAGACCATAAAACAAAACAAAAAGAACAAATAGCATTCCATTTGTTTTATTTTCACAAGATACAAGAGTCACTTTTGATGTGACTCACAATTGCCATATTTGGAATGCAATAACATAGCAAGAATTAATGATGTTTGTTAAGTTGCAATATTGCTGTTAGAATTCCATGGCCAGGTCTTGACAATAATTGATTAATCTTCTGACACAGATTGGCTTCTTAGCTTATCTTGGCAGTAGATACACATCTCCGCTAGGTATAAATATTTATTGCAGACAGTAATGAAACCATACAAAATAGTTAATCATTGTTGGTCAGACTACACAAATTATGTATATACATTGAATAATATAAATTTATTTCTTCCTGCCCAACCCAAGAATTAATAGGCTCTTAATGTAGTGCTCGTAGCCTTGAACCCAAGGAATTCTATTATATGACTGACATATTCGGCAAGTAAACCGCTAACTACTGTCTACCCTCAAATCTATTGTCTATCTCTGACTTCCCCACCACCACCGTATGACTCACTCGCCCTGTCCCTCTTTCTGGCTGTGAGGGATTGTCCCCTTCTTCCATCTCTATTTTTCTCCTCCCCACTACACACATTTCAGTAATTTGACTTTCAGTCTCAGGTGAAACATTCCCTGTATTTCTCTCTGCAATTATTTCTCTTTTCCTGCTTCTTCTCAATCTTTATTCACCCTGATCAGAGTCAAAATCAGGTTTAAAAACTTTAAAGCTCAACCAATTAGGTAATTTTGACTTGAGAGGATATCAGAAACAGATCTACCAAAAGAGTTGATTTCTACTTTCTGCCAAGAATGTTCTGTGTCCTTGTAGCTTTTCCAAATATTCAGGCTTGCCCCACCTGTGCTGAGTGTTTAAAATAACATACTACTCTAATTTTTCCTTTCTCCCAGAATACATTGGTACCTTGTTACTCAACTGCTTTGAAACTCATCAAATTTGGTACTCAATGCATTATGACATGAAAATTTTGTCCTGGTATATTTCCCCCAACAATCTGGATCCTCATTTTACTGACTTCAAAAGAATGGAAGGCTGAGTCAACCTTGAGCTGTTCAGGAAGTGGGAATGCAGAGTTAGCCTGCAATACTGCATTCTAACCACTGCACCATTACAAGTCTTAATAGTAGAAAGGAAGTTCCACCTTTCTATTATTAAAATAATAATAAATTTGACTACTATATTTTAGTACATCAGGGAAAAATAACAGAGTTTTGTCTGCAATCAGGAAGGAAAGATCTCAGCAAACTAAGCACAGCAATATTTCCATTGGCTTTTTCTGTTGGAAAAGTGCATGGCAACCTATTTTAAAAATAACTTGACAGCGTGGAACATTCTGAAGCATTTGATTAGCATATTAATTTCTCCATAGATGCTCTCACGTGTTCAATGGCAAACTGTCAGTATGGCTGTGATGTGGTTAAGGGGGAAATACATTGTCGCTGTCCTTCACCAGGGTTACAGCTAGCACCAGATGGCAGAACATGCATTGGTGAGTCAAAAAAAAAAATTTTTTTTTTCTCTCTTCCACAAGATGTGGGAATTCTGGTCAGCCTTTCAGTATAAATTTTGTTTGAAGGAGGGAATTTTAGAAACTAAAGAAGCCTTTATAACAGGGGTATCTAAGCTTAGCCACTTTAAGACATGATGGCTGGGGAATTTTGGGAGTTGAAGTTCACACTCTTTAAAGTGGGCAAGGTTGGATATCCCTCCTTTATAATAATATATTTACTAGGTAATGTTGAGCACAAATCACACTTGTGTCAAAATAATATTCAAGCAAAGTCAAATTCTTAGAAACAACAGTTCTCCATTCTTTATATACTAGTGCGATTTTTTAAATATTCCTGGGTGTTAGAATTCTGTTAATTATTATGCATGTTGAACTTTTAAAACAATATAGAAGAATAAAATGGAAAAAAAACCATACTAACATTCTTAGAGTTAGTGATATCTGTAGTGAAAAAAGATTGGAAAAAAGTGTCATTTTTGTTTTAAATTCAATAATGATGTGGGGCGGAAAAAGAGAAGCAAAAAGTCATTCCGGTTCTTGAAAATGTTAAATTACCTGAAAGATTTTTAAGAAGTATTATTTATTTATTTATTAGTTCGATTTATATGCCGCCCTTTCTCCGGAGACTCAGGGCGGCTTACAATGCGTTAAGCAATAGCCTTCATACTTTTGTATATACCTGCTTAGTAGGGCTTTCGGCCCCCCCAAGCGGTGTTCTTTTTTATACAAAGTCAGTTTATTGCCCCCACAATCCGGGTCCTCATTTTATCTATCTCAAAAGGATGGAAGGCTGAGTCAACCTTGAGCCTGGTGAGATTTGAACTTGCAGTAATTGCAGGCAGCTGGTGCTATTTAACAGCACTTTAGTCTGCTGTGCCACCAAGGCTCTTGGTGTAAAGAATCTTCATGGATTTTCAACAGCTCATTCAGAAATAGATTTTGGAAATAAAGAGCATTATACAACTGAAAGAATATAAAGGAGAACATCTCATGACCAGTGAAATGAATTTGTTCACTTTAAATATTATAGAAAATCATCACATCATTTTAAGTACTTTCTCCATATCACAATATTTATCGGAAGTAAAACTTAACTGTTTTTAGAAACTATTACAGAAATAGGTATCTGTTCCTATGATGATGCCAAAATGATGAAATGTGTGTTGGTTCATCAAGACGAAATCTCTGCCTTTTTATACTTGTGTTGTGATGTAGTATGCAAGAAGCAGAGTTTGCTTTGGGATTGTATGGTTCATTTTATGCCTTCCTCCTCATTGCTTCCTCCTATGGCCATTTACAATTACAATGTGAACTTAAACTTCAGAAAGGCAGATTCTGACTGAAAATTGGGAAAAACTTGATGCTAAGGGCAGTTTGATAATGGACCAGTTTTGAAGGAACCATTCAGTGGGTTCCCTCAATTAAATGAAGTCATCTCTTAGAACCCTGGAGTTGTGCCTTCTTTGTAGCTGCCCCTGCTTTCTGGAATGAGGTTCCTCCAAAGATACCCCCACCTGCTCTTGATTAATAGAGACATGAAGACATGACTCTTTATTTTTTTTATTATTTGTCAAGCATGTATAAGATAACAGATATAAGTATAAACATGATTATGAGTAGAGGAAATGGATATGAATAAATGGGGACAGTAGGACAAGGACGGTAGACATGTTGGTGCACTTATGCATGCCCCTTACAGACCTCTTAGGAATGGGGTGAGGTCAACAGTAGACAGTCTAAGGTTAAAGTTTTGAGGGTTTGGGGAAGTAACCACAGAATCAGGTAGTGCATTTCAGGCATTGACCACTCTGTTGCTGAAGTCATATTATCTGTAATCGAGTTTGGAGCAGTTTACCATAAGTTTGTATCTATTGTGTGCTCGTGTATTATTGTGATTAAAGCTGAAGTAGTCATTGACAGGTAGGATGTTGTAGCAGATAATTTTGTGTACTACGCTTAGGTCAGACCGAAGGTGGCGTAGTTCTAAATTGTCTAAGCCCAAAATTTCAAGCCTGGTGGCATAAGGTATTCTGTTGCGAACAGAGGAGTGGAGGACTCTTTGGTGAGGAAAAGTGAAACCCCACTTTTCATCGCTCTAGCCCTCTTATATCTTTATTTTTTATCAATTTTATTGTAATTCCTTTGTGTGACTGTTATGAGCAGCCCAGAGTCATTTAGAATCAGATAGCATACAAGTTAAATTGTATGAGCCAAGGCTCAAGGTTGACTCAGCCTTCCATCCTTTCTAAGGTAGATAAATTGAGGACCCAGTTGTGGGGGCAATAAGCTGACTTTGTATAAAATATACAAAATGATGAAGGCTACTGCTGAGCACATTGTAAGCTGCCCTGAGTCTCCAGAGAAGGGCGGCATATAAATCAAATTTTTTTAAAAAAATTATTGTGGTTGGTCGCACTGTTAGCCAAATTATATTATATACACAGCAATGTGAAATCAGAGTTGCCAGTTATTTAGTTGGTATTGGTTTACCAAGTTCTTTCCAAGAACCTAGGATATCATAATGCATCGGGGCAGTATACTGTATGTACGGATCCAAGGAGTATGGCCTTTTGTAATTGACAGGTGGAAATTTTGTCAATACGCTGATTTTCTAAGTGCTATCTAGGATTATTTATTATAGCACCCAGTGTGCCAAAAGCCACGGGGACCACCACAGCTGATTTATAGTCAGATGTTGTCACTTGATGGGGTTAATATTATTGTGCTCAGACAGAAACTGGATAAAGATCTATCGCAGATATTTTCAGTTGGATTCATAATAAAGCAGGGAATTGAATTCAGTAGCCAAAATCCCTGCTTTCAGTGTTGTGAAATTTTTTCATATATTGATCCCTAGAATCTGGTATGCATGGAGTCTTGGAAATGTTCTCTATAAATCATTATGTGAATACATAGTTCCATTTTGTAATAGTTTCCAGAAACAATTAATAAAGATTTTGACAAGCATTATAGTTTGGGTATGTAACCTCCCAATGATTGGATTGAACCAATTCTTTTCAATAGCCATTTAGTGTCCTTGGCTGAACTTTATTTTCAGCATGGAGATCTGCCAATAAAGTTCACTTGTGCAACAGGATAAATTATAATAAATCAGAAGAAATCGTGCTTTTGAAGGATACTAGATTTTAGTTACCTCTTCTTAAATTAAACATTTCAGTGTTCTATTTTCTTCCTTTACCATTCCTTTTCTAACATTCAGAATGTTTTGCACACAATTGTTCTTCACAGGATTTAAACCTGCTTTTTATAAAGTTATGCCACATTAGGGATGAAAAGATGGGTTTTATGGAGGAAAAGTAGAGTTATCCGTATATTTATCTTACAATTTAACTGTAATTTTTGCACAGCACTAATAATACATAAAAAGTAATGTCCCAGAAGACTATTATCCTTTCAGATTATCCAAGATAAATGTGTTTTTGAATTTGAATACATCAAACTCATTGCTACAGATTATTAATGGACTTCTGTTTGTAGATGTGGATGAATGCATCACTGGGAGCGTTACCTGTCCCCGATTCAGGAAATGTGTCAACACTTTTGGAAGTTATATTTGCAAGTGTCATAAAGGCTTTGATTTGATGTACATTGGAGGCAGATACCAATGCCATGGTAATGAAAATCATTCATAAAAGAAAACCATTTATAAACATTTGTTGCACCAAAGTCAACTTCACACATTTGAAAAATATAAGTCAGAAAGAGAAGCAGGATTGCTCTGCTCTCTCTTTCTTCAACTGCCATGGGCAACAGGGAAGCTCTGAAGGGATTTGACACCTGTATTTGCCTGAATATTGTCATCCTATTTTGTATCAGACATCTCTTCTACAAAAATTCAGAAACCATGTTTAGCCAAATGCATTTGCAACTTCACTTCACATTTCAGGAACTGTAGAATTCTGAATCTATGCTCTTTGGATCTCCACTATAGCCAGTATTTTGAATTATCAAAGTGAACTCACATTTATCTATGCCAGAACTAAATTGAGAGCTGTAGGAGGTAACTTCCTTATCTTCTGTAAAATTCATGAAAGTCATTTGGGCTATAGAAGACTTACATTCATTACCATCATCTACTGATTATATGCTGGAGACACAGTGGCTCAGTGGCTAAGACGCTGAGCTTGTCAATCGAAAGGTCGGCAGTTCAGCTGTTTGAATCCCTAGTGTCCCGTAATGGGGTGAGCTCCCGTTATTTGTCCCAGCTTCTGCCAACCTAGCAGTTCAAAAGCACGTAAAAAAGCAAGTAGAAAAATAGGGACCACCTTTGGTGGGAAGGTAACAGCGTTTCGTGCGCCTTTGGCGTTTAGTCATGCCGGCCACATGACCACGGAGACGTCTTTGGACAGCGCTGGCTCTTCGACTTTGAAACAGAGATGAGCACCGCCCCCTAGAGTTGAGAACGACTAGCACATATATGCGAAGAGAACCTTTACCTTTACCTTTTACTGATTATATGGGCTTTTTCTGCCCAGATCTCACAGACCTGAATTATGGAGAAAGTGAAGGGGAACTTAAAAACTAGTCCTATTAGAACCAGGCTGATGGGGATAAGGTAATTTTGGCTGGATTCAAATATCTCAAAAAGATAAAGCGTGGTTATATTTAATTTTGCATACCATCAACTGGAAACCCAGCCACTATGCTTAGTAAACCATAGTTCATAGAATTTTTCCCAGCGATCTAGACATTTAGGATTCAACTTTTAAGATCACCAGACAGTATGGCCATTAATTTCAAGCAATGTGAATCCATCCAGTAATATGTGGTTCTTTTTTGTAGCCTGTAGTATTCTATTATCACAGAAAAGCTTAGAAGTCAAAACTCAACTATCTAAAACTTCTGACCTTTTATTATTTTGTTGCTTGTATAAGTCCCCTGAGACCTTCTTAAAATTTCAGATACATTCAAGGCTCTTCAAATAATTTGCTTACTATCTTAATTTCCACTGTTAGCATTTCAGCATTTTAATACTGAATGGGATTTATTTCAATTTTTTTTACAAGAAAGAATGTTAATTTGAAAATGCAAATGCGTGATTGTTATCATTAAAATGGAATTTATCTCTTTTTTTTCTGTTTACAGACATAGATGAATGCTCTCTCGGCCAATATCAGTGTGGAGGTTATTCCCAGTGTTACAATACACTAGGGTCTTACAAATGTAAATGCAAAGAAGGGTACAGAGGTGATGGATTAAACTGCATAAGTATGTAATGATCCTTTTAATCTTGTATTCTGAATCCAAATTAGACATGACCTCTTTGTGAAGCTAATTTTTAGATCCATTTGTGGTTATCTCAGTTTCACTAACACTGGTAAAGAAAAGAAGAGTATTCTGAAAGTTTTAAGAGCCTTAATATTAGACTATGACATTTGGACTACTTAAATCCAGATAACCACTGGGTGGTCATAGGAAAACACTGTAAACTCCCAAATCTTTGCCACTATCCGGTGGCCACCTGGACATCTATACCATTTTGGTAGCCATATTAAAAGGCTGGTGTAAAAATATATTTTTCAAAGTTGGTAGGATGTTTGTAGTGGCTGGAATACTAAGGTTCTGTGATCAGGTAATTTGAGCAATGTATGCGCCAAGAAGAATGTGCTTTCTTCTATTGAACCAATAACTCAACCATTTAATATTTCATATTTCATAATATTTAAGCCAGGGGTGGGTTCTACTTACCTTTACTACTGGTTCGCATGGCGCCCGCATGTGCTCTTCTGCGCATGTGCAGATCACCTATGATGACGTCCGGGTCAGTGGGCTGAGCCTCCCACCGGTTTTACTACCAATTCTTGCAAACCGGGGGCAACCCACCACTGATTTAAGTCCATGTGTATTTGCTTATACATTTTACAAGTTTAAAACTGTGAAGCCTCATGTTTACAAGGATACACCTGAATAATTTCTGTTACTATTAAAATGCAGTAGTTTTCAAGAAAATTCTACGAACTGGTACTATCTAGTTTTGTTGGAACTACAGATGTCCTATTTATTTTGAAGACTACATATCCAACTTATGGGGAAAAATGCATTCCTTTGAATATTCGATAATCCCATATAGATATGAAAATTGTACTCATGAATTAAAGATAGAAAATGATATCCACAGAGCTATAAGCAAGGATCATAATATTGATATTAATCTAGAAATCCTGCTTCTTGTTTTGTTTTGTTGTTGCTTTTGTTAGAGTTAACACTGCATCATTTCTTAACTTTGCACATTTTTCGGTTCTTTCTTTCCAGGGATTCCTAAAGTTATGATTGATCCATCTAACCCCTATAGTGTATTTAAAAGCAATTCAACTTTTCTGAAAGGAAGCAGTGGCATGACCAACAGAATACCTGAATCTGGTGGTACAAAATATCCCATCCAATTGCCATATATACCATATGTAATTACACCAAAGCCTTATGTGAAGACAACAGCTAGAGCAACTGTGAAACCAACATACAAACCATATACCAGATTGGCAACACAACCTGCCACGACAAGATCAGTTTTCAGGCCAGTGACAAGATCTCCACCAGTGACAAGTCCTCCCCAACAACCCACAGTACCATTTCAGCCTGTAATAACAACATCAATGCCACAAGTAGTAACTGAGGAGCCTCTGCCTTTTCCTACTGAAACAACACCACAACCAGGATTTACAGTTGACAATTGGATCCCAATTGAGCCACAGAAACCCCGAGGAGATGTATTTAGTAAGTAAGGCTAGATTTTCTTATGTGTTCATGTGAAATCTAGTTTATTAACTAGATTAAATTCATCAGTCAGGGAGCAGGAATAGGAGAAGAGAGGGAGAAAGTGATGGGTTAGGACAAAACTATTTGTGGGGGTTAAACAACCTGTTTTTAATATTGATCCACAAGGTGACATTTTAGAATCTAAAATTCTAAATTATGTTTCACGGTATTTCTATACTATCACTTATTGTTATAAACTACTTTTAAAGAGTGAATAAGAAAGGAATAATACAAATGAATACATTTATGTCTGGTGTAGTAAAAACCTTTTCTCTATCCCTCTTAGTACATACCAGGATTATGCACTGAAGGATGGTTTTAAAAGCACATAATTACTATTTGGAATATTGTTATCACAAGATTTTGTATAACTTTATGTTTTCCTGATGCTCAAAATAAGATTTCCCATACTGTCACAAACAGTGTAGACACATTTATGGAGAATAAGAGAATCTATAGCAGCTAATCATGATAGTTATATACTTCCACTATCAGAGGCAATGTGAATATTATGTGGTAAGGGACACGTGTTGGGGGATGCTGTTACTTTCATCATGTTTTGTTTGTATGTTGACTTCTCTCCGACATTGGGCATTTGTTTGTTGTGGGAATAGAATGCTGGACTTGTAGCTTGTGGTCTGTTCTAGAAAAATCTAGTTCAACATGTCCAATCATAAGAGATGGACATTTGAAAATTGAATGGAATTCTGTGATATGGGAAATTTGGCTATGAATTAAATAAAAAAAAAACAATACCAAGTATGTAATGGGTTAATATTTTGGATCCAAGTTTAATTTAGTTTTTGAGAGACATGTTTGTTTCATGACAATTTTCAAAGCCATCTTGTGGCTACTTGCTCAAGAATCAAATGTAAAGTCAAGTTAAATCTACCGGTAATTGTTGATTTCTGCTTTATGAAATCTGCTCATCAAATGGGAGACATTTAGGCTTCCCAAGGTGGTTCCAAAGGTGCTCCTTCATTAGGGAGCATCATTTTAGAGAGATGTCTTACAAATATTACAGTACTTTCATGCCAAGCCAGCTTCGTGCCACAAATTACATTTGATGACTTGCATGTTTTGCAATGCATGCCAAGAAATACTCCAGTGCTCTGTTTCATCTTTAGCATCTCAACTGATGTTAATTATAGAGTTTGTAGTATATTTCGAAAAGTCTTTGGTGCCCAGAACAGTTACATTGCATAGCTAATAGAATATGAATTTTGTTATCTTGCATGGACAAGTGCATTCCTGAATAACTTTGGGAGTGATTTTGGCTGGATTTCAGCAACTCCTAGTGAAATACTTTCTTAAGACAGTTTTCTTCCTCCACCAAAAAAGCAGTTTGTTTGAATCTCCCACCTTTAATATATATTATAGGTATAAAGTCCTCATAAATTAGGGGCAGAAAACGCAGCAGTTCCGCTTGAGGAAGATGAAGGCATTATCTAAGAATACTCAATGTTTTCGGGGGGAAAAGATGTATTACTTCATAATCCTCTGTAAGAATTATTAAGGGTTCTTTAGAAATTATTTTGCAAACATTGTTACCAAACATTCAGGATAGGACTCTGCCACCCAGAGTTGTTGGATACAAGATGGGCAGCAAATATATTTTATAAATAAATAAATACTGTACATAAATCCAGTGAATGAAAAAGTGAATAATATGTAAATTGCACAGATATCATTGTTTTGTTCTGCATTGCTCATATTGTCTAATGTGCAATGCGAGTGGATGCTTATTTTGTATTTATGATAGAAAAAAATCTTGTCACGTAAAATGTCTAACCTATACATATTCCCACTACTCCATGGTTCACCAAGGGTTAACATCACCACATAACCCATAACTCCCACAATCCCACCTTACCTTAACTCCTCCCCCTGGGTACAAAAGCACCAGCCACATGGACATCGGGCAGTTCTAGATACACACCTGAAAGGAAATGACTTAGGTCAGTTACTTTGTATGTTTAAGCCTGTGATATATTTAAGCTGTAAATAAATTTCAACAAATACTAATCTGCATTGAGAGTTATTGGGCTAGATCCTCCCTATTCAACAAATCTGAACTATGATTGGCAATATGGCACATTCACAAAATACCTAATGTTCAGGAAAATCTGTTAGAATATTTACAATCCCTACGCTGTTTCCCTCCCTCCTGAGGTGAGGATGGCTTCATTACATCTAAGTTTCTGAAGGTCCCTCAAGATCTAGTTATGCCAGGAGGCCTAAGGCCGCAGGAGACAGGTGAACTAATGAGGTACCTCCATTACTATTAACATCCCTGCATCTATCAGTCTTGTTTTTACTGTTTTTACAGTTCTTTAATGGTTTTAGTATTTTTAAATTGTTTTTAGATAAGTTTTTTTTAGTTTTGTTGTATACCACCCAGGTTCACTTGCTTGTGAGATGGATGGTTAACGATGGATGGATGGACGGACGGACGGACATATGGACGGACATAAATCTATCTGTAAAGCTAAAATCTAAAGAGTCTATAAAACATTTTCTAGGCTGAAGTCATCATTTGATGCAACAGCATCACAATATTTCTCCTCTCCTCCTTCTCTTTAATTATACTTGCATACATACAGTACATGCTAATAATACTATTCTATTTTAGTCCAATATTGAATTTGGACGATTCATAAATAATAAATTAAATAAGTTGTTGTTGCTACCCATTCTTTTCTATCAATATGGACACATCTTCGAAAATTTCTCTACCCATTTCCCTGTTTTTAATAGGCATCCCACCTAGGTACACAATTTCATTTACTTGCTCTAATCTTTCATCATGTGCATATCTTGCAATCATTCTTTCAGTTTTCCAGAATTTAATATATAGCTTCTTATCTTCAAATGATAAAGTGATGTATTAAAATCAAGGACTGAGTTTGCAATATATATATTTTCTGTTTACCATGCTGTATAAACATATCCACTGGTTTGTAAATCATGTTTTTTGGGCAGGATAGGTACAGAGAGCCAGTTTGGTGTAGTAGTTAAGACATCAGGCTAGAACTGGGAGACCATGAGTTCTAGTCCTGCCTTAGACCCAATACCAGCTGGGTGACCTTGAGCCAGTCAGTTTGCCTCAGCCCTAGGAAGGAGGCAATGGCAAACCACTTCTGAAAAACCTTGCCAAGAAAACTGCAGGGATGTGTCCAGGTGGTCTCTGAGAATTGGACGTAAGTGAACAGGAAAAAAAGGAAGATACGTGCACTATATTGGGTTAAAAATAATTCACACACACACACACATTTTGTCTCAATATAATACATATTATAGCCTGTGGAAAGGTTTTTGAGAACATATCAAGTTGGAACAGGTTTGGAACTCACAATTTAAGTTTCTGACTACTTTTATGAATCTAAGCAAATGTTTTCCTTCAGAATGAAGGGCAGTGAAATTAACTATATTCTGGCTTTTGAAAGTGCTTACAATTGACAGTGGTTTATCTTTCCAATTCCATGTATACAGATGTTCCTGCTTCATAATGGATAAACATTAAGGTTCGTCACTTTCTGTTTAGCCAGGCAGACTAGGATGAGCTTGGAAGAACTGGAAATGCTTTGACTTATCAATTGATTATGCATCCTCAAGTCAGCATCTAATCTTAATAACCACACATGTAGCCATCCACCAAGATGATCTGTTCCCATCCTAATTTTTCAGGTTTCCTCACAATATACCAGGGTGAAATCCAATTTTTTTACTACCGGTTCGATGGGCATGGCTTGGCGGAAATGGCAGGGGAAGGATACTGCAAAATCTCCATTCCCACCCCATTCTGGGGCCAGACAGAGGTAGCATTTGCCTATTCTCCGAACTGCTCAAAATTTCCGCTACCAGTTCTCCATAACCTGTCAGAACCTGCTGGATTTCACCCCTGCAATATACCTATCACTGTTGTAATTATATCCATGTAGCTTGTTGTTGATCATTCTGTTCTTTCCCGTCATCAACTTTGTAATAATAAAAATGTCGGTCAAATTTCATCTTTCATCTTGTACAGGTCCTTGTGAATAGGGAATATCTTCTAAAGTATTTTGGATGTTGACATCTCTACCATACAGAATTTCACCATGCTTCCATCCTGGTTTTTTTCTCCTTCTCTGAATCATGCACCTTGTGACTCTTAGCATACCAATTCAAATAATAGATTTGCTGTTGTCTCTAAAAAGATCATATACCTCCTTCATCTTCCCATATTGCTACTGTCCAATATGGGTGCCTGCTTGCTTTAGCTAGGCAGCTGTGATGACTTTTATACTGTAGGTGAATTCTCATATCAGCTTTTATTTTTCATATATACTCCTTGTGTTTTTCATTCATATCCCCAGAAACCAGTCATTCTTGACTACCAGAATGAGGTGAAATAACAGGGCTTGGGGAATGGGGGAGGGGGGAAGAGATGGCCTGCTACTTAGAAATCCATTAAGTTGCTTAGAGATGCAAGGATGCTTAATTAATTGAGGAAACCCTTTTAATGAATCCACAGAATGTTAGCTAATAAATCACTCAAATTAGTTCATTCTGCAGTCTTCTCCTTTTTATATATAGCTAGGTGCTCTTTACCTACTGTGTTTTTTAGTGTAGAATAGTGAATTCCTCAGTGGCTAAGACGCTGAACTTGTTGATCAGAAGGTCGGCAGTTCAGCAGTTCAAATCCCTAGTGCCGCGTAATGGGGTGAACTCCCGTTACTTGTCCCAGCTTCTGCCAACCTAGCAGTTCAAAAGCACGTAAAAAATGCAAGTAGAAAAATAGGGACCAGCTTTGGTGGGGAGGTAACAGTGTTCCGTGTGCCTTTGGCATTTAGTCATGCCGGCCACATGACCACGGAGACGTCTTTGGACAGCGCTGGCTCTTAGGCTTTGAAACGGAGATGAGCACCACCCCCTAGAGCCGGAAACAACTAGCATGCATGTGCGGGGGAACCTTTACCTTTATAGCCAAAGGAAAAGGGTTTTTTTTTTTTCTGTAAAGGCTTCATTATATATACATATCAGCATAGGCTTATTGTCCCTATCTTGTAAGATCCTAGGCATGTCTGCTCAGAAGTTTAAAAAATCCAGACTGTAAATCTGAAAGAATTACAACCTTAATATCAAGGGCTCAACACTCATGTTTTTGCTGGTTTGTCTGGGAAATATTAGTTACACAGCACAAATAGTTTGGCATTTAGAGATATTGATATGAGTAGTCTAAAGCTATAATAATTGCATGTTATTCTTTAGTTGTTATACATGAAATCAAAGGCCCAGCTCTACAGTTTGCACGTGAAATTCCTTTCGTGTTTTGGATTACATCAATTTGTCAAGCTTTCATGTGGCAAAGGCCCTAAGGCATTATTCTTTCAAAAGGTTTGGATCTTTTTGTAGGTCTAGCTCCAAATTAGGAGGGACTTTGAGATAAAAGTTGTCGTCATTGAAAGGTAATTTTAAATTTAAATGTGTTGATGCTATTATTGTTACAAAGAATTAGATTATTTTTTCAAAGAGAATGTCATAATGATTTAATTGGGAAAGATGTTCTCTCTACTTACCTCTAGTATGCATATTGTTTGCCTCTTCTATTGTATTGTCAACAAGAATGTAGCCTTAGGAAGCATACTTTGTACATACACAGATCTTGATTCCCAACAAAGTCACAAACTTTATGATGACTATGTATAAGGGTATGTGTTACATACAGTTAGGGTTAGGTTTACTATAGAGGTAATTCTTGGCTTAAAAACACAATTGGGACCAGAACTCCTGTCTTTAAGCAAGACAGGCATTAAGTGGGTCACACTAGTTTTTGTTACCTTTCTGCCCTGGTTGTTAAACGAATCACACAATTGTTAAGTAAATAACATAATAACAGAGTTGGAAGGGAGCTTGGGGGATCTTCTAGTCCAACCCCCTGCTCAAGCAGGAGACCCTATACCCGTGAATGGCAAACCTATGGCATGCAGAGCCCTCTCTGCGGGCATGCCAGCCGTCGCCCCAGCCCAATTCCACCACTGACCAGCGGGTCTATGCTGCGTGGGGGATGGGGTGCATCGGGGATGCACGTGTGCATGCATGGAGGGGTGGGATGCATGCATGGGGGTGCAGGTTGGTGCAGGAGGCTTTTCAGGCCCAAAATGGGGTGCGGGGGGCCTCACACGATGCCCCCGGGTCCCGTTTTGGCTTCCAGATTGGTGCAGGAGGCTTTGGGCACTCGGCACCAAAAAGGTTAACCATCACTGCCCTATACAAATGGCCATCCAAGCTCTTCTTAAAAACTTCCAGTGATGGAGCACCCACACTGGCTTCCTCCATTAACTTAGCCTTGAATCAGAAGCAAAGCTTTGTCAGAAAGTGATTGGAAAGGTTTCAAATGGCAATCACATGAACCCAGAATGCTGAAACCATTGTAAATACATGCTGGTTGCCAGGCATCCAAATTTTGATTACATGATTACAGGGACACTGCAACAATCATATAGTGTGAGGATCGGTTGTAAATTGTTTTTTTCAACTGTGTCATAACTTTGAATGGTTGCTAAACAAATAGCACATAGACTTATATACCACTCCATAGTGCTTTACAGCACTCTTTGAGTGATTTATAGTGTCAACATATTGTCCCCAACAATCTAGGTCCTCATTTTATTGGAAGGATGGAAGGATGAGTCAACCTTGAGCCCCATCAGGATTGAACTCCAGACTGTGGGTAGAGTTAGCCTTCAATATCACATTCTAACCACTGTGCTACCAGGGATCTAAACAAATGGTTGTAAGACAAGGATACTTGTACTAGCTGATATAAATTGAATTCCAAAATGTCTGGTTGCCAACTCCAACTACAGTTTTACTCTAGAGAAGGTTCAAGACATTACTGGCAAAAGAGAAAAGTAGCAATGGTCACTGTAGCTACCCTCCCATTCTCCTTTTCCCTGTAGAAAATCCATTTGTTAATTGTTATTGGAGAAACTAAAGAGAAATTCTGAGGAATACTGCAGGATTGGGATTTGATCATTCCTGCATATGGAGTAGAGTAGGAACAATGACAGTCCCTCTCCTTTTCCTGAAAATTGGAAAGGAGCATTAGAGAGGAAGGATTGTCCTGGAAGGGAGAAGGCCCACAGGCAACTGATTCTCCAGTGATGGCTCACCAGATAGCCTTTGCTAGAACAAGTTTGCCATTTAAAATGGCTCATTGGATGTGCATTTTGTCTTTCATGTCTTAATTTTAAAACATAAATGCATGCTATACAAAATAATGGAAAATAAAACTATTGTGCCTCATATCACATCACAGTGGGGGATACTGAAGGGCAAAATTCTTACCCAGATCAGTGCTGAAATCCACATTTTTTGCTACCAGTTCTATGGGCGTGGCTTGGTGGGCGTGGCAGGGGAAGGATACTGCAAAATCTCCATTCCCACCCCACTCCTGGGAGAAGGATATTGCAAAATCTCCATTCCCCCCCTGCTCTGGGGTCAGCCAGAGATGATATTTGCCAGTTCTCCGAACTGCTCAAAATTTCCCATACCGGTTCTCCGAACTACTCAAAATTTCCGCTACCAGTTCTCCAGAACCTGTCAGAACCTGCTGGATTTCACCCCTGACCCAGATACCAAATAAAAGCCTATCACATATTAGATGTTCAAGCAGACTGCTCTCAATCAGGCCTGTGTCTGAACAGTTACAACTAAAAATCAAAACTATCTTAGTGAAAGAACAGTTTCCATGAATTATCTAGGCCTTGGCATCCTTCAAGTTTTTCTTTTTAGCAGTGAGAACAGCAGATGTTCCAGATTTTTTCTCCCCCAATAAAAAGGATCTTTAAAAACATATTTTTCTACAAGGCTTTTAAGACAGGCTAATTACTGATATTTTATTCAGGTTTTTTTTTAATGATTCACATCTTCCATCATTTTAAATACCAGAGGTTGATTTTATTATTTACTTCTGGTTTTAGTATCAATTATATTTATTGCAAACTACCTTGCGGGTTGTGCTGACAGCACATATATCTAAGAAATAAATAATGCTATGTGCCACTAAAAATAAATTCGATATCATTACTGTACTGAAATTATAGTATTTATGTTTTTCCAGAAAATTAAAATGGCGTAAGTACAAGAATTTCTTCCTTTGTGTTGACAAGCTCAAAATTCTTAAGCAATGTCTACGTCAATATTCAGTATTTCATTAAAACATCACTATTGTGTTGTTTAAATTGGGAGTTCATATCATCGCTTCTCTTTCATAGGGAGAAAAGGTCATCTTAGTTGTTGAAGCATCAAACAGATTAGAAGACACATCTCACTTGTATAAAAATATTTCTAGCAATATGGCTGATTATCTGTAATGTGGTAGGATATTAAGAAAAAAAAATGAAAACAGAGCAGACAATGGAAGCAGAAACAATGATTGAAGTGAACTAGCCTGTTCAAAAGCAGTTAGGAAGGAAATACAAGAGGACCTGAATATGGCTCTCTTCTCTAGCAGGGGTGTCAAAATGGCGGCCCACAGGCCGGATGCATCACATGCAGACCATGCCCACCCAGCTCCGTGAAAGGGAAAAACATCGCGATAACATGACGGCAACATGATACCGCAAGCTTGACACCCGTGCTCTATAGTCTTCTTCATGAGTCATACTAATTGGTTGTGGCCTCTATAATTATTACTTAGCTGAAATCCTTGTATTTCTTACAAGCTCACCCAAATGGCTTTTGCAGTGAAACTTGACAATAGGTTGGTAGGTAATCTATGTAATAATCTCCGGTTTACTTCCTTCTCTGTTTTATTGTTTCTTCTTTAATGTCTTGATGGTTTCCTCTTCCAGTTCCCCGCCAGCCTGGAGTGAACAATCATCTCTTAGAAACATTTGAAATTGAACAAGGGATAAGTGCCAATGAGGATGAAGCAAATGATGATCCAGGTAAGCACTTTGTCACTTTGGATTCTAGCTAGCATTCTAGAAAGCACTGTTAAGAGGAAAACATTACTGTTTGTTATGTACCACATTCCTAAGAATATGTGCACCATCAAGCATACAGTATGTGTACTTTAATAAAGTGTACAAACCAGTTGTGCTTGCAGTATAAAATGAGAACTCTACTTACTGAAAGCCATTCTTTGAATTCTGAGGAAAGTAGTAAAAGAAACATATAAAACATATCTTCTTCCCCAGATTCCTCAAAATACTGATCTTTCCACAGTAACCATTTTTCTTCAGCTATTGATTAGATTTGAAAGCACTAGTTAAATTGCAGTTAGAATAGAATAGAATAACAGAGTTGGAAGGGACCTTGGAGGTCTTCTAGTCCACTTCAGACAAATGGTTATCCAACATCTTCTTAAAAATTTCCAGTGTTGGACCATTCACAACTTCTGCAGGCAAGTTCTTCCACTTATTAATTGTTCTAACTGTCAGAAAATTTCTCCTTAGTTCTAAATTGCTTCTCTCCTTGATTACTTTTCACCCATTGCTTTTTGTTCTACCCTCAGGTGCTTTGAAGAATAGTTTGACTCCCTCTTCTTTGTGGCAACCCCTGAGATATTGGAACACTGCTATCATATCACCCCTAGTCCTTCTTTTCATTAAACTAAACATACACAGTTCCTGCAACCTCCAGTCCTCTGATTATTTTTGTTGCTCTTCTCTGCACTCTTTCTAGAGTCTCAACATCTTTTTTACATTGTGGCGACCAAAACTGAATGCAATATTCCAAGTGTGGCCTTACCAAGGCATTATAAAGCAGTATTAACACTTCACGTGATCTTGATTCTATCCCTCTGTTTATGCAGCCCAGAACTGTGTTGGCTTTTTTGGCAGCTGCTGCACAATGCTGGCTCATATCTAAATGGTTGTCCACTAGGACTCCAAGATCCCTCTCACAGTTACTACTATTGACCAAGGTACTACATATACGGTACCTGTGCATTTTGTTTTTCTTCCCTAAATGTAGAACCTTGCTTTTTTCACTGTTGAATTTCATTTTGTTAGATAGCGCCCAATGTTCAAGTCTGTCAAGATCCTTCTGTATCTTGAGCCTATCTTCTGGAGTGTTGGCTATTCCTGCCAGCTTGGTGTCATCTGCAAATTTGATGAGTTTCCCATCTATCCCCTCGTCCAAGTCAATGATGAAGATGTTGAAGAGCACTGGGCCTAAAACAGAGCCCTGGGGTACTCCACTGCATACTTCCCTCCATGTAGATGCAGTTCCATTGAGGACTACATGTTGAGTGCAGTTGGTCAGCCAGTTACAAATCCATCTGGTGGTGATGCTGTCTAACCCACATTTTTCTACTTTATCTAGTAGTAGGTTATTGTCTACTTTATCAAATGCTTTACTGAAGTCCAAGTAAATTATATCGACAGCATTCCTCTGGTCCACTAATTGAAGTTCCCCACATCAATTGCAAGAATTCGTGATTTTAAAATCTCAAACATTTCCTCTTTGTGCACAAAATTTGGGTGGGATGGATATTTGTGGTATGATAGAATGAAAATAGTAAGATAAATCTAATGAAACCTACACAACTTTATAATTTGCACCAATATGATAAATTTTAACTAAATTGGGTATCCCATACTTTTCTAAAAGCAGAAATGAAGAGAAGAGCACAGCAAGAAAATGTCTTAGAATTCCTTTGTCTTCATCAACTGATGGATTAATAAAAGCTTCTCCTTTTTGGAAATGTGATTGATATATTTTTACATTATTTGTGTGAAAAGTGACTACACATAAATAACCTCACACTTAGCTTAGCTTCTACCAATCTAGGACCTTCAAAGTATTGGAATGAAAGTTCCAGCATATTTACAGAGGAGTGAGTTAACCTGTCTCAAGTTTGAAGGCCTTTTTTTTTTTTTTATCTCTCTAGGTATTCTGATCAATAGTTGCAACTTTGATGGTGGTTTGTGTGGATGGATCAAGCAAAAAAATGATGATTTACACTGGGAACCTGTTAAAGACTCCTCAGGTATTGCTCGATTTCCTTCCATTTAAGATAGTGCTATATGATAAGCAAAGAATCAGAGATAAGAAAAAAAAATATTGGCATATAGTTTCTGGCAATTGATATTTATTTGGAGTTGAGGAGTGTTCTGTTAGAATGTAAAGTTTTGTTTTAGCTTTCCTGTGTATGTAAATTTTCAAGGGCCATTTTCTTTGGACTGCTCCCTGAATGGAAAACATTTGAAAAGCAGTGTGTGAACATGGTAATACCTCTTAAGCAGGGGTGCTATTCAGCAGGTTTTGACAGGTTCTGGAGATCCGGTAGCAGAAATTTTGAGTAGTTCGGAGAACCGGCAAATAACACCTCTGGCTGCCCCCAGAGTAGGGTGGGAATGGAGATTTTGCAGTATACTTCCCCTGCCATGCCCACCAAGCCACACCACACCCACCAAGCCATGCCCACAGAACCAGTAGTAAAAAAATTTGAATTCCACCACTGCTCTTAAGGCAATTTTCTTGCATGTTCATTCATATTTTTGTTCCTAAATCATATTAACATTTACTTTTTTTCTTTGTAACTGTCAGTGTTTGATGAGGGCTATATATCTAAATCTAAATACTGTATGTATGGCCTATTATGAAGCTGAAGCTTTGGAAAATTACTTACTAATAATTTGTGATTCTGAATACAGATTTATATAATTAATTGCACTGAGACATCTCAAATCACTTGAATAGGGCTTGGAAAAGAATCACTTTGGGCATTTCAACTAAATAATATAGCCACACTACAAGTACAGTATGTACAGTATATACTGTATGGAAGGCTAGTTAAGATGTTATGCCTTTTAATTATATGCCTTTGTTTTGTTAGTACCACATTTGTATAAAAGTATACATTCTTTGGAGAACTTTTCTAACTTGAAATATTAAAAATACATTCAAAAAATAAATGCATTTATTATATTGATAGCATGCTTATGTGGCATGGCAACTTTAATAGACTTTTGAATTCTCAATTCTCAAAAGACAGTGAAATAAATTACTACCTTTTTGACTCATTCCAGTCTTCCAGTTGATACTTTTTGCACAACCTATTATTTATCCTGGCATGAAGAAGTATATGGATGAGAAACTAATGGCAAATGTTAGGTATATTTCTGGAATTATGGCTCTAGATACTATGTTTACAGGAAGTGGGATGATGTTTGCATAAATGGACATGTTTAAAGAAGAGGTGGGTTTCAGCAGGTTCTGACCAGTTCTGGAAAACTGGTAACGGAAATACCGGTAGTAAAAATTCTGACTGGCCCCGCCCCCATCTATTCTCTGCCTACCAAGTCCCAGCTGATCAGGAGGAAATGGGGATTCTGCAGTATCCTTCCCCTGGAGTGGGGTGGGAATGGAGATTTTACAGTATCCTTCCCCTGTCACGCCCACCAAGCCATGCCATGCCCACCAAGCCACACCCACAGAACCGATAGTAAATCTTTTTGAAACCCACCAATGTTTTAAAGTTATCTGAAATCTATGGATACAACCCTGCATACATCCAAAAGAGAAAGTGGAAGATTTTCTGTACTCTTAACTTCCTCAGAAACATGAATTGTTCCAGCAAGAAATATTTTAAGATTACAGTTTCAAATGCAAAGCTCTTATCTTCCCTCTTAGAATAAATGGTGTATGAACATTCTAAAGTAAACAATGGAAGTTCATTGAATGAGTCCAAATTATTAATACTTTGGTATCATTTCTTTAGTTGCAGCCCTAGTTTTGTTTGGGAAATATGATCCCCAAAATGTCCTTCCATCAATGGAAAATCATAGGATCAAATATAATTAAAGAATATTGATGAGAAAAGATTTATTTAATTTTCTTTTTTTGCAAAAAATGTTTCTCAAGACCCAACATTCAGTTATTGCAGCTTGGATTTTTTTAAAAAAGTGTTTATCATTTACCAATTATCTGAATTGGATAAAGTATCTTCTGTAAAATTATAGAAAAACATAGATGATCGCACTCATATATACAGTATGTTATTCTACTTACGCTTTCTCAGATCTGAGTCAATTTTTCTATTATTTTTAACTGAATTTATGTACTGTGTTTCCCCCAAAATAAGACCCTGTCTTATATTTTTTTGAACCCTGAAATAAGCTCTTGGCCTTAATGCCATGTGCTCAAAACCCCGATTGGGCTTATTATCAGGGGATGTCTTATTTTGGGGGAAACAGGGCATATATATACATATGTACCAGTGGTGGGTTTCAAAAATTTTTACTACCGGTTCTGTGGGTGTGGCTTTGTGGGCGTGGCAGAGGAAGGATACTGTAAAACCTCCATTCCCTTCCCAATCCAGGGGAAGGTTACTGCAAAATCCCCATTTCCTCCCGATCAGCTAGGACTTGAGAGGCAGAGAATAGATGGGGGCGGGGCCAGTCACCGGTTCTCCGAACTACTCAAAATTTCCGCTACCGGTTCTCCAGAACTGGTCAGAACCTGTTGAAACCCACCTCTGGTATGTATGTATGTAGGTATGTATGTATGGGGTGAAATTCAAACTTTTTCCCTACCGGTTCTGTGGGCGTAGCTTGATGGGCATGGCGAGGGAAGGATATTGCAAAATCTCCATTCCCACCCCACTCTGGGGCCAGCCAGAGATGGTATTTTCTGGTTCTCCAAACTACTCAAAATTTCCGCTACCAGTTCTCCAGAACCTGTTAGAGCCTTCTGGATTTCACCCCTGGTATGTATGTATGTATGTGTATATATTTTGGATATATATATATACATCCAAAAGAGTATATACATACATACACATACACTTTAGGGTAGACCATATTTATTTATTTATTTATTTATTTATTTATTTATTTATTTATTTAATTTTATTTTATTTTATTTTATTTCTATATCCTGGAAATGTATAAATAATTTGAAATCAATCAATCAAATCAGTGCTGCATTCACATTACTTACAGTGTTACAGCTGGGTGGTCAGTATTAGCCTTTTGTGGCAGCCACAAATTTAATTCCTTGTTATCACGTTCCTTTTTTTTCCAAGGGCATGTTGAAATAATTTGTTTTCTCCTCCTACTCTGTTTTAAACAGGTGGACAATATTTATCTATTTCTCAACCCAAAGGGAAGGCAGGTCGATTTGCCCGCTTGGTTCTCCCACTTGGCCATTTAGCTCGCTCCGAAGATCTGTGCTTATCCTTTCAGCATAAAGTGTCTGGATTACACTCCGGTTTGCTTCAAGTCTTCCTAAGGAAGACCGGTATTCATGGGCCAGCAATTTGGGGAAGGAACAGAGGTCATGGTTGGAGTCAGACGCATATAACGTTGAAAGGACCTGGCATCAAAAGTGTGAGTATAGTTCTGGGATCTAAGGGAAAAAATAAACAGAGAGAGAGAGGGGGAGAGAACAATATTATTTATATTTAGTATATTCAATAGTTACATTTCCTTCTAATCTCTATATGTGTTACAATTTTTTCAATGAATGTCTTGATTGTTTAATGTTAATTATCAAAATAGTATCTGCACTGAATAGAATAGAATAGAATTCTTTATTGCCCAAGTGTGATTGGACACACAAGGAATTTGTCTTGGTGCATACGCTCTCGGTGTACATAAAAGAAAATATACATTTGTCAAGAATCATAAGGTACAACACTTAATGATAGTCATAGGGCAGGGGTCGGCAACCTTAAACCTTCAAAGAGCCACAAAGGTCCTAACAGGAACCCCCCTTTCAATTCCTGAGCCGACCGGAAGTTGGGGTCCCCCACTATAGAGTCTATAGAGTCTCCTCCTAGTGTGGTGCCCTTTTTCCTCTACTTGTCCTAACCAAAAGCCCTATCAATTGTGGAGCCGACCAGAAAACTCACCCCTGGCCACCCCTGGCCAGAGAGTCTTCTCCTGGGACGTCATGCTTTCCTCCCCTTAACTGGAAGCTCCTCTCCAAATTGTGGCACCAACCATTGACAGGGAGTCACAGCAGAGGGATAAAAGAGCCACATGTGGCTACAGAGCTGCGGGTAGCATGGTTATTTGTGGTATGATAGAAGGAAGGTTAATGTGGATTTTAAAAATCATTATGTTAGATGTGCCCTATTGAGAAAATTGAATAGATAAAAAATCAGGTTGTACCTGAAAACACTTCTGTGGCTCTCAGCATAAGAAGCATTTGATAGACAAGAAATAATAAATAAACAAATATAAATGGCTAACTTATAGTGAAAAATTAGAAACTTGTCAAGGAGAATACAAAATAAAATCAAAAGAGCAATTGGTGACAGAGAGACAGTTGCCAATGGTTTTCTTATTTACAGTTGATAGAAATATTTAAAGTAGACAAAAAGGAGTTAATTCTTTTGAATATTGTAAGACAGAGTTTGAAATGGAATTGTGTACAAAGGATGGACTTGGAATTTTAAAATGTATACACTTCAATTGAAATTTGAAACAGAGCAAATGAAAGAATGATGAAAAGAATTACTGTATACAGGGAGTTAAACTTTTGATAGTAATTTATATATATGGAACAATGGGATAAATAAGTGGTTGAAAGAATTTTATTTATTTATTTATTAAATTTTTATACCGCCCCCTCTCCCGAAGGACTCGGGGCGGTGAACAGCCAAAATTAAAAACACACAATACAAACATTAAAATACTATAAAACAAAATTAAATTTATCATTTGGCTTCCCCAATTTAAAAACCCCTTACCCATAAAATTCCCCAATTAAAAAATGTTTAACGCAGCCCGGCTTGCTGAAATAAAAAAGTCTTCAGGGCCCAGCGGAAGGTACGGAGGTCCAGGATCAGTCGTATCCCTGGGGGTAGCTCGTTCCAGAGGGCGGGTGCCCCCACAGAGAAGACTCTTCCCCGGGGGGGTCGCCAGCCGACATCGCCTGACCGACGGCATCCTGAGGAGGCCCTCTCTGTGGGAGCGTATTGGCCGGTGGGAGGTTATCGGTGGCAGAAGGTGGTCTCGTAAATAAATAACCGGGCCCTAAGCCATGGAGCGCTTTGAAAATGAGAACTAATACCTTGAAGCGCACTCGGAAGACCACTGGAAGCCAATGCAGCTCATGCAGGAGAGGTGTCACGGGGGAGCACCATGTCGCTCCCATAAGTACCCGCGCGGCCGCATTCTGCACCAGTTGGAGCCTCCGAGTGCTCCTCAAGGGGAGCCCCATGTAGAGAGCGTTGCAGTAGTCTGGGCAGGAAGTGATGAGGGCATGAGTGACCGTGCATAAGGAGTCCCGATCCAGAAAGCGGCGCAACTGACGTATCAGGTGAACCTGATAGAAAGCCCCCCTGGCCACGGCCGTCATATGCTCTTCTAAAGACAGCTGGGCATCCAGGAGGACACCCAAGTTATGCGCCCTCTCTGTGTGGGCCAATGTCTCGCCCCCAATAGTCAGCGATGGCACCAGCTGACTATATCGGGACGCCGGCAGCCACAGCCACTCAGTCTTGGAGGGGTTGAGTCAGAGCCTGTTCCTCCCCATCCAGACCTGCACGGCCTCCAGGCACCGGGACATCACTTCAAGGGCATCGTTGGGGTGGTCGTTGAGGTGATTGAAGTTTACATTAAGTTATAATCTTAAAGAGAATTTTTACAAAATTATGTACTGCTGGTATATGATAGTGGAAAAATTGTCTAGAAGTATAGAAATGTATGAAAGCATTTCAAATACATGTTGGAAATATGAACAGCAGAGACATTTTATTGTATTTGGTGGACATGTAAAAAAACCTACAATATTGTGGATTCAAGTATATAAACTGATTTAGAATATTTTAAAGATTAATATACAATTGAGACCAAACGTCTTTCTTTTGGGACCAATGGACCAACATTTAGAAAAATTAAGGGAACCTTGAATATGAAAACTACAGCAAAACTAGTGCACACATGCATATGGAAAGATTTGGTGGGTTGTTTTCTAAAATTGTCCTTTAACTCTTTTTCAAGTAAAATCCCATGTTGATCTCCATGAATAAATTATTGCAAAATTATTTTCAGTGAATCACTGAAAATCACTGAAAATTATTTCACTGAATCACTGAAAATTATTTCAGTGAATCACTGAAAATTATTTCAGTGAATCACTGAAAATTATTTTATTAACCAAAATAATTGCACACAACTTGTAGTTGTTATTCAATAATGATATCGACCTATAGTTTCTCGTTAAAGGCAAATTTTGTCCCTCTTTGGATGTTAATGCTCTATTGGCCTCTTTCCAATTCTCTGGCATCTTTCCTCTCTGTAAGATTAATCATGCTTTGTAAAGGTTGTAAAAGTTCATCCTCCAATAATTTATAATAAGAACCTGATCATTCATCTGGTCCAGACACCTTTCCTAGTTTAATCTTTTTATAAAGAAGATTTAGAAACCTCCCTTATTGTTATAAATCCATCATAATCTGTGATTAATTTAGAGCTAAACCTAAATAAATGTATATCATAAGTAAATGCAAATGTATTTGGCTGCTATATTCCATATTTCTCTAAACATCCTAGATCATATAACAAACTAAAGGAACAAAAATCTATAAACTGAAAGTTGCCAAGTTCACACATTACTTATCCAAAATTCAGTGTGGCTTAGTATAATATGTGAGCATAATTGTTGTGTTTCATAAATCATGGTTCATAGCTAAAGCCTTTGTTACTTATTAAGTAAGCAACCGTTTAACATGATACATGAAGCCAATCAATCTCATATGTCTTTATTTTATTATTTTTTTTCATTTTTCCTTTCTCAGGTTATTTTTAAAGGCGAAAAAGGAAAAGGAAGAACTGGGGAAATTGGTTTGGATGATATAAGTTTGAGAAAAGGCCAATGTTCTCAGGACCATTAGTGGTACAGATGGGTGAAGAGAACAGACTTTCGTTGTCCATGCCTATCATTTGAGACATGTGGATGATTTATAACTTCTCCTTTGTCTTTGTGAAATCACAGTGGATCTCCATATAAATAATTCAGATTTTCTGTATTAGCAAAGAAAGCTTAAACAGAAGAAGCCATTAACATTGGTTAACATTGCCTGTGCTTTAGGAGGTTCTGAATGGAGGATATATACATGTCCTTTATGAAGAAAAGACTGCCTAAACGTCCTCAAAAAGAGTCAACATCTGAATCCATGTCTTCTTTGTGTTTTCCATTGGATGATTATGGTTCATTTTGTGTCACGAGCTGAAGTTACACCCATTATTATTGTACTGCATCAATTTTTAAAGTAGAGTGTTTTGTGTGTCTCTGTGTGTATAAATAACATTTATCCCGTTATCTTATTGCAAAAGGCAGTTAAAGAGTAGCACTGCAATCCTTAATATAGGTAGTGCTGTGTTCTGTATAAATATGTATTATTATTATTAATGTATTTATATATGTTGTATATTTGCAAACTCTAGTTGTAAGATGAAATAGCATTTGCGCACGTTACAGTTAAACCAGCAAAACAGACTGGTAGTCCAATAGCCAGTTCTTTTTAAAATATATAAGACCCAGCAATGTTCCTTGCCTTTCTAAACTCAAACAGTAGAATATTTTACATGATTGCAAAAATGAATATAATGTAAGTATTACCAGATTCAGGAGAATTAGACTTCAGCAATCCTGTTCTGAAAAGAAAAGCATTCATGACTGGTATCAGCAGCTCAACTTGGCCTTAATGGATTTTAATTTTTTTAATATATTCAAGGAAAGTTTCTCAGATAGCAATTTTTCCTCTCTTATTCATATTCTCGTAAGAAACAAAATAGGTTTTTGTGGTTCATAAGCAAAGAAACGCAGAATGACTGGTCATGTATTAACCAGAATTATATAGGTAGTCCTCAATTTAACAACAGTACATTTAATGACCGTTCAAAGTTACAACAACATTGAAAGAAGTGACTCGTGGTCATTTTTCATACTTACAAGCGTTGCAGCAACCCTGATCAAAATTTGGATACTTGGCCACTGACTCATATTTATGACAGTTGCAGTGTCACCTCTTCCGACCTCCTAACAAGCAAAGTCAATGTGGAAGCCAGGTTCACTTAACAACTTAATAACTGGAGTGATTCACTTAACAATTGTGTCAAGAAAAGACCTAAATTGGGGCAAAATTCACTTAACAAAAGTTTCACTTAGCAACAGAAACTTTGGGCTCAATTGTGGTCGTAAATCGAGGACTACCTGTACATTATTGCATAAATTCTATCTACTGTGTCCTCTTTTCAGACGGTGTTGTCTTTATTTCTGGGCAGATGATTTAATCCACATCATAAGGAAGAAAAATTGTTTCCTGAACATAACAGGAGGGTTGCAAAATGGCTCAGTTTCAGATTGATCAAAAATCCGTCTTGCACAGTATAGCATAGAGAAAAACACACAACAAAAATGCAGTCAAATGAGGTAGAAAAGCCAAAGAGCTTTCGATGCCTTAGAATTTGGATCTTTTAATTCTTATTTGCAAAAATGGAAAGTTTAAAAAGTCTCCCCTTGCATCCAGATGGCAATCACATTGCTGGCATGTTAATCTCCCCAAGAAGCTATCCAGGTGGTGGGGACTGCCATGGAAAATCCTCTTTTTCGTTGCCTCAAAATGAGTAGATCTTCAGCTGTTCCCAGTGTGGCTTGATAGAAACAAAAGAGGTGGCCAACCTATCCCATTTTATAAGTCCAAAATAATTTAGCTCTATTTCTCAACTTACTCCATATCTGAAGTTGCTTCTTACTAACATGTGATTTCTTCCTGTATTTCTCACAATACACCAGAGGTCAACAATATGGTGCCCCTAAAAGCTGTTCAACCACCCCTCTCACCCAATTAATTATATATATTTATTTCTAAAATATATTCAAGGATCAAAGTCTAATTAGTTCACAGGGACATTCTTGGATAAGATTGCAGGATATCTAAGAGTTAAAGTCATTAAAATTTTACACTTATTAAAAGTTCGCAACATCCAGACTAAACCATTTATAGATATGATAATTTTTGACAGAAAAAGAGTTTATTAAGGCATAGTACTTTGAAAAGAAGCACTATAAAAGTAAATCAATGGTCTTTAATACATTCCATTACAGTCGTTGGAACAGCTGAGCAGTTTTTTCCCCCAGTTGTAATTGCAATTTGCCTGTTTAGTCAAGCCAATGTTTTTAGCAGAAATATCTTAGACCAGGGGGGTCAAACTCACGGCCCACAGTGCATCATGCGCTGGCCACACCCACCCCAGTTTAGCGAAGGGGGAAAATGTGGCAATACATCATGTGATGACAACTTGTCGTCGCAAGTTTGACACCCCTGTCTTAGACCTACTCAAGCTATTGGCAAGATTTTTCTTCTTCTAATTGTATGGCTTTCTAAAATACGGCATGTAGAATGTCAATATGGCAAGTTACATTTCTCTGATCAAAAGGATGCTATTTTAAATAAGAAAAAACTGATATCCTAAATGTATTTTTTCAGTTGGACAAATAATGAATTTTTGTTTTAAAACTTTTAAAAAAGTAAAATTGTTACGTTTCAATATTGTCATAGTACAAGACCATCAAGCGTAAATCTCTAAAAATGATAAATGAACCCCTCTACAGATATAACTATGATTTCCTTTGGAGTTAGAGTTGTAATAGTAATATAGTTACTATATTACACTACTTGTAATCAATTTTAATTTATGAGGGCATGGTAGCCTAGAGGTGGAGCTCTTGCTTCACAATCAGAAGGCTGTGAGTTCGATCTTAGGTAGCGGTAGATATTTCTCTCTGTATGTCATGCCCCTATCGGAGTCTGAATCTGCGGAGGAAGATGAGCTGGAACAAAAACTGATAGCGAGTGAGAGGGCAGCTCCATTGGCCTTGGAGGAAACTGGGGAAGGGCAGAGTCAGTCCAGGCAAGGCTGTTCGGAATTAGCAAGGCCTGCAGGGAGGAGGGATAGACAGAGACGAGGAGCAAGAACCACTCCCTCCTGATGCAAGGGCAAGGAGAGTGCAGAGAAGGCAGGATCAGTGCAGGCAGAGAAGAGAGTGCCCCACCTAGCTTCACCAGGAACACCTTAAGGGGAGGGGCATTTATCGGGAACAAACACCGAGTTCCTGAAGTGTTGTGTGCCAACTTTTGAACTTGCCAAGAGTCCTTGCATTCCTTATTGGCGTTCTGGACTAATTATCTGGATCTTCTGCTCCCTGAACTCCTTACTTGGCTCTTGGTTTGCCAAAATACATTTGGGATTTATTGTTGTGTAGCCTTGGTGCAGACAGCGCTAGGCTGGATTAATTGCAGCCACAGGCTGTTTGAGGTTTGTGTGGGTGTTGTTCTCACTCTGCTTTAGGACTTGTCCGTAATGTGGGAGCATTTGGGGAGATTTGGAGCAGTAAAGGAGCTGCCAGCTGTTTGTGTTATCTCTGTGCCGTGCCCTGGGTCATCACACTCTGGGTGCAACAAATAATTGTCTGCTGTGAACTCCACGTAGGTGTCAGGAAAGGCATCTGGCCAGTAAATGCTTGAGCTCTGTTTAGTCACCCATACTCCACCCGATGCAAGAGATTAAAGGGTCATTAAAAGAAAAAATCAATTTAAATTTATCAAATGAAACAATAACAAAAGCTACATGTTTATAAACTGAAACTGATTTTTAAAGTCCTTTTCATATGTACAGCTCTATAAAAGCTTCAGAGACCACAGATTTATTGTTACACACTACAATGCAGAGAAGATAGACATGCAAATCTGAATCAAACTAGTGCTCCTCAGTGTCAGTGGATTTGCATATCTGATAATCAACTATGACTCTGGGAAAGTAAGAATTTTGTCCTCTTTCACAGAGTTGAAAGCGTTGAATATGTTACAAAAACTTAACATTTTTGACGTAATAACAATTGTAATGGAGTAAACGAAGCGTTTTGTAGAATAAATAGATTTGGAATGCAAGCTACAGGAGAACAGCCCTGCCCAAAATCCTCTTTAAGTGAATTGGTTTTATCAAGAGCAATGGAGAAAGAAATCTTCACTTGATATCTGGATATAGAATGAGGAAGTGCTTCATATTTGGCCAAATACTTCTATATTATTCCTGAATTATGCTGGCAGTATTAAATAATACTCTCTTTAAATTATGCCTTGATCATGCTATATGAAAACTATATGCATGTTTATATTTTCTAAAGCTAAGAATAGAATAGAATAGAATAGAATAGAATAGAATAGAATAGAATAGAATAGAATAGAATAGAATAGAATAGAATTCTTTATTGGCCAAGTGTGATTGGACACACAAGGAATTTGTCTTGGTGCATATGCTGTCAGTGTACATAAAAGAAAAGATACATTCGTCAAGAATCATAAGGTACAACACTTAATGATAGTCATAGGGAACAAATAAGCAATCAAATCATTAGGAAACAGTCAATATAAATCGTAAGAATATAAGCAACAAGGTTACAGACATACAGTCATAAGTGGAAGGAGATGGGTGATAGGAACGATGAGAAGATTAATAGTAGTGCAGACTTAGAAATTATTTAATTAAATAAGAATGTATACTTTTTTGATATAATCCTTGATTTTCCAATGAATCTACTCAATCTTAATTCCACTTAATGGGCTTCTATTGGAGTGAATAAGATATAAGATCAGCTAGGAATGTCATGTTTGTGTTGTAATATGTAGGCAATTCAAAATGAAGGTGTTATGATTCAGCCCTTATACACCTCATCTATATCAGGCTCCTCTTTCAATAGGCAGACTGTTAACTATTTTCTAGATGGAAACAATTCCCCAATAAAGATATGGGTTGCTGCTTCTAATAGCAATGAATTGAAAGAGATTGGCTTCTGAAAAAGTAAAATGTAACTCACAGAGGCATGAATTGCTTCCATATTTGGTTGTCCTGCTTATAGAATCATAGCAAAATAGGAACTCGTAAATCTTGAGTGAATCACATGAGCACCATATGCGAAGATAACTAATGGACTTAGTGTTTGGAGAAATGCCCTTCCCTTTGAATGATCAAACCAATGTGAAGAGCAGATGCTAAAGTCACATGCATATATTTGGTTCAGTGTCTGTTGAGTTGTCAAAAGATTTTCTGTTGAGAATTATTTTCTGGAAACTTCTTGTGACAGGTTAATGCATCAATTTCTAAAATTATTTGTTATGCTCCGAATTCATAAAAGCAGCAATAATGGATTTTCATGTAAGCTATTACTCCTAAGTTGTAGGTATATTTGTGGAAGTATACAAATAAATAAGTAGAATACATATATATTTAAGGAACATGGTGTTGTGTCACACAATATTTATGATAATTTATACAGACCTACCTGACTCTCACCGTATATGTGGTCTTAGAAAGAGTATGTTATGTGCAGTAGATGGATTTTTAAATCATCATTTATGAAGGTGAGAAAATGCTCCAGAGCAACAAATTGAGCTATATCTAAAAGATGCACATCTGAATCTTTCATCTATATTTAATTGGCATATATTCTTTTTTTTGAGAAATGTTAGTATTTAAACATGCCTAAAGTCCATGATTAATTAATGGCACCTAGGTGCATCTATATAATAACTTATCTATCTTTTCTTCTTTTGATTACTGTCTTCATAACTGTCAAAATAGTTTTTTGATATACACACCCTATTAAAATGATATGGTATCCTTGTTTAATCTAATTATGTTTTACTCAGTTGTTCAGATATGCAAGACACATTCATAAACCATGAACTAACACAGGAACTTTATACAAAACAATATACTAAGAATTTCTCACTATATGCAAACAGTGTGGATAGGTATTAAGTATGTCTGTTAAATCTGGATTATATATGAGTATTAAAAAATGGAATCAGTTCAAAGAATACACAACACCCATGCACATAGCCACACAACCTTTCTTGCCTTTAGGTTATCCAATACTTTGACATTAATATCAATGTCCTGATGTTCTTATTTCCTTTATTGGTGGGAATAAGGCTTTAACATAACATAGTTTCACTTGTTTTATATGTTGGATATTTTTGGATGAAGGATACAACCAAAAGATACCATAAAATCAACAGTATTTCTTAAACTGTACTTCTTGATTAAGTTTTGTCTTGCAGTAATGGGAGGTTAGTTCTTTAACGGCTCAACCAGTTTTTAAATCTTTTGAATTAAAATTCATTTATTTCTATCACAGACTATTTTTTTCTTCCTCAACTATTGTTTGAAGAGTTACTGTAAGGGTTGCAGGGCCATTTGCTTGATTTTCCTTTGATCTTTGTCCAAGATAATGATGATGATGTAGTTCTTGTTACTGTGCTTTGAAATGAAGATGATAGTAGAAGAAGAATGATAGAAAGTGAGTTGAATTGAGGATGGATTACTTTTGTCTTTTTAAAGGTTAGTAAAACTGTTTTTAAAGGTAAATATTCCCCTAGCAGATAGGGAGCGGTGCTCATCTCCATTTCAAAGCCGAAGAGCCAGCGCTGTCCGAAGACGTCTCCATTGTCATGTGGCCGGCATGACTCAACGCCAAAGTTGCACAGAACAGAAAGGAAAGGTGTTCCCTATTTTTCTACTTGCACTTTTTACATGCTTTCGAACTGCTAGGTTGGCAGAAGCTGGGACAAGTAATGGGAGCTCACCCCATTACACGGCACTAGGGATTCGAATCACTGAACTGCCGACCTATCGATAGACAAGCTCAGCATCTTAGCCACTGAGCCACCGCGTCCCTAGAACTGTTTTCAGAATGATATTTTATACCCAAAATGGCAGAACAAAGTGCCATCAACTTTTAGTCACTATGAGGTAGAGAGGCTTTGGAAGAGGCAAAGAAAAAGGTTTCATGGAGTCCCAAGATAGTTATTTTGGATATAGAAGAAATGCTGGGCACTCATGAATATTGTGTCTCTCCCTTCTTCGTCTCTCTTCCTTTCTCTCAGAAGGAGAGAAGAAAAAGAGAGAGAGAGAGAGAGGCTGCTACAGAGGATATATAAGTTTGAAGAAATGAACTCAATTTACAGCAACTTAAAATAAAAAATTATGATAAAATTTCTAAAACCAAAAAAGTTTTATTTTTCTTAGTTTTGGATTGGTTTGTGAACATGGCCCGTTGATATAAAAGGATAACCAATTTAAGAGAAGCAATAACTCTGGAAACATTAATTCTAATAGACATACATTAACTGCAATGGTTTTCTAAAAGTTGCTAACGAGGCTATTTCTTCAGGCATATAGTTCCCAACTGTATATTTTAAGATTTAAGCTTAAGAATCATGATCTGAATAGGCTTCAGCATGCTGAATGCTGTGCTGGGCTTCAGTTGACATTTCTAAAGAGCTTACGTTTCTTAAGTGTTCTTTTTACCATAATCACAAGTAAATAGTCATTGCCGTAACACACGTTCTTTCAGTCAAAACTCTAGAAATATGCAAGGTTCTAGGCAAGCAGATGTTTCTTCATTCCTTTCAATAATCCCAAATCAGGCTGAGATTAATTGCAAGAATTAAATTGCAAGAAAAGAGCCTTGATAGTACAGTGGTTTAGTGCACCCTGTTATTAACACAGCTGCCTGCAATTTCTGATGGTTCGAATCTCTCCAAGGCTCAAGGCTGACTCAGCCTTCCATCCTTTCTAAGGTAGGTGAAATGAGGACCCAGTTTGTGGGGGCAATAAGCTGACTTTGTATAAAATATACAAAAGAATGAAGGCTATTGCTTAACGCATTGTAAGCCGCCCCGAGTCTCCGGAGAAGGGCGGCATATAAATCAAATTAAAAAAAAAAAAAAAGAATAAGGAAGATTAGACTTTTTTTTCCAGACTGCTAAATAAGCAGTTTTTTTTTTTTTTTAAAGAATATTATTATGGGTGAACTTTATGAATTGCGTGGAGCCAAATGTTGAATCATGTTGCTTTAGATCCAAAATTCTGACACCAGGTTACAATTTTGCATTATAACAATGCAGGAACATACAGGAGTGTAATCATATTGTGACAGGGAGACAAATGTAGTAAGAAGCAGAAATGTCACAGATTTTATACATGGCAAAAAATGAATATATTGCAGTGGCAGCTCAAGTCTTTCTACTCTATCCTTGCCCTAGACCAGTTGAGAAATTGTTGTGAGCCAGGAAAAACAATTTGCAAATCTCTACAGGAAATTTCCTTGGACAAATGACACACTTAATTCTTCATATTTAATGGGGGACATGGGCAGTATTAACCACATGGTATTTCCCATGTGCTCTTGCAGAATAATCTAGCATACTTCTAAAAAGTGTTATGTAATTCAAGCTAAAGGCAGAAAAGAACCTGGGCAGCAATTTACATAAAAGCCAGACACATTGACTTTATTACAGTATTTATGAGCCCCATTAAACCATGACTGAATGAAACCGCCACCTCCATCTACCATTCTATCAGCTTGCCTTGTTTATAATTGAGATATTATGGCTGCTTGAACGGCAGTGCTGGTTTCTAATTTCTTCAGGGGGGAGCTATTAAATTAATCGTGCATTAAAACATTATGCAGGCTGTGAGTTGTTTGCAAAGTACCGATATCTTTGCAGGATTGGTGGGATTTTGTGACTATGGACTTAATTTAATTTGGACAATTAAATTGAGGCTAAAAGGTAATATACAAGAGAATCAGAGGAAGAGTTGAATTTCACTGTTCTGTTAGGGTGAATTATTAAGAAAAAAATAATAATTTTGAACTACAGATTTCCCTGCATGGAGTAGAGGCAATATATTTAGTAACTGGAGAACACCGTGAAGGTCAATGAGAGGATATTTTTTGATCAACCACCATACATATGTCACTTGCGTACAGATAAGAAGGAAAATTGATATGAACATGGTAAAAAAAGCAGGAAAACCTCACATTTTTCTTAAATTATTAACCTAAACGTGCTCTACAATCCATTTTCTCTGCTCTTTTCCAGTTATGTTGTATTATTATTTTTTTAATTTCCCTAAAATCAGCAACAGCGGCTGAGGAGGAAATGAAATTACATTCAAAAGGGCCAAAAATATGCTTGCTCCTTACATGATAGGCTCTTTCTTGGCATGCAAACCCATGCCATTATTCCCATCACCTCGGCCTAAACTGCTTTAAGGCACTTTACATGGGGATGCCCTTAAATATTGTTCAGAAACTACAGTTGTGCAAAATGTAGTAGCTCGTACCGCTTTGGAAACATGATTTTGAGAGTATCTCAGACCAGCTTTATTGACCCTGCATTGGTTACCAATTAGTTTCTGGGCCTAGTTTAAAGGACTTGGTTCCCAGATACTACACAACTGTCTTCACTAACCGGTTTTGGCCTGATTAGATCTACCAGGAAGAAGCTTCTCCAAAACCTACACTTTCAGAAGATTCAGGGAGCTGAGGCAAGGAGGCAATGTTTTTCTGTTGGCCATGGACACTGTGGAATGGCCTCCTCTTGATCAGGTTAGCTTCCTCTTTGATGGTCATTCAAAACCTCTTGGAAACTAATACCACTCTATAAAGATTTAGTAAGACCACACTTAGAATACTGCATCCAGTTTTGATCACCACACATAAAAAAGATGTTGGGACTCTAGAAAAAGTGCAGAGAAGAGCAATCAGGATGATTAGGGGACTGGAGACTAAAACATATGAAGAACAGTTACAGGAACTGGACATGGCTATTCTAGTGAAGAGAAGGACCAGGGAAGACATGATAGCAGTGTTCCAATATTTGAAGGGTACCCCAGAGAGGAAGGGGTCAAACTATTTTCCAAGGCACCTGAAGGCCAGACAAGGAATAATGGATGGAAACTGACCAAGGAGAGATTCAACCTAGAAATAAGGAGAAATCTTCTGACAATGAGAACAATCAACCAATGGAACACAGCTTGCCTTTGGAAGTTGTGGGAGCGTCATCACTGGAGGCTTTCAAGGGGAGATTGCACTGCCATTTGTTGGGGATGGGGTAGGGTCTCCTGCTTAGGTGGGGGGTTGGACTAGATGACCTACAAAATGTCCCTTCCAACTCTATTAATCTAATCTAATCTAATCTAATCTAATCTAATCTAATCTAATCCAATCCCAACCTATTTTAGACAATCTGATTTGGTTTGATTTGATGTTGCCATCTTTTCTAGCTTCTTCTGTCTGTGTATTGTTACCATGTTGTTGTGCTTTTATTTTTTATTGGATATGTTTGATAGTAAATAGTATTTTCTAGGTGAGCCACCAAGAGTCATTTTCACTGTGGTAGCATGGAAATGTTTTTAATAAATGAACAATCAAACAAATGTACTGCAATGCACATGAGGCAGCTTTTGAAGGCAATGTGGAAGCTGTGGTAGCCAGACAGCTGGTGCACAACTCCACCATTGCAAGATAACACTGATTTCATTCCTGCATTGGTTTCTAATAAGCTTCTGTGTCCAATTCAAAATTATTGCCCACAAAGACCTATTGCAGCATATTAATGGATTACATCTGTGTTATTCAAATTGATCTTGTTCATCTGGTCCAAATACATCAAGTGAGTCTTCCAAGAGACCTCTCGCTCACAGGAAGCACATGAGACCTAAATCAGAGGGCAGACTTGATGTGTATGGTGGCCCCAATACTCTCTAAAATCTTTTCCCAGAAGTATATGTAGTGCTTTTTTCTTGAATTCCACAAGCTGGTGAAAACATTCTTATTCCACTGTGCCACTGGTGCTAATCAATTAATTGTGATCATTTCATTTTTGGATTATAATTTGTTTCTATTATTTTCTGCTTTTCTGGCTTTGTTATACACTGTGTAGAATCTGGTGATTGAAGTAGTCTGTAAAGAAATAAATGGCTATGTAGCTGAGGTATATATGCCTTCAGAGTGTTTTTTGGAAAATATATGGTTGTGTGGTTGGTAATGTCCAAGTTATCAACTAAGGCAGAACTAAAGTTCTTCTTAGTATGGAAAAAAAAAACCTGCAAAATTTTTAAATCATACAGTAGAATTGGAGAGATGGGAAACAATGTGGCAAATAAATACAAAATTAACCATGTCCGCGGCATGCAAGGAAAACCAGTTGAAGATGTTCTATAGATGGCATCTACCTCCGGCTAGACTTGCGAAGATGTTTCCAAATAAATTTCGGAAATGTATGTTAGAAATGTAATAAGAGCTACGGAACATATTACCATCTTTGGTGGACATGTCCGGCT